ATAAGGTCGCCGCCCAGAATGGGCATTTTGTAAACATCAATAATTTTGTATAAAAAAAAAGTTTATTTTTAGCTCTTTATGTTTGCTAAAAAAGTTTTAAACTTTTTTCTTATAGTTCTAAAAATGATTTAATTACTTTTATTCAAAAATAAATTAACGAAAAAAGGAACAAAAAAAATCATTCGTGTTCCTCTAAAAAGTGAACGAAATTTCAATACGCTCCTAAACACGAAAAAGGAACTGTGTTCCCGATAATTTCCTAAGAATGGAATGAAATCAAAATAACGAGTTCCTTCCAAGCACTGATATTGATTTAAAATCCCTTGAATTTCACGAAGATTTTCTGCAATTTGTTCCAACCACTGATGCATCTAGAAAAGGTATATCAAGACTTATACTTGACAATCTCAGAAAGTTTGATATAAATACACAATATCTTCAGGGTCAGGGGTATGACGGTGCAGTCGCGATGGCTGAGAAATTTAATGGAGTTCAAGCTTATGTAAAAAAAGAACATCCTTTAGCTTTATATGTACATTGCTCTGCTCATTCCTTGAATCTTGCTGTGTCGATATCATATAACGTTTCCAAATAAGCAACTGTATGAGAATACAGTTATAAAATTATAAATTAAGAGAATTTTTTATGTTTCCGAAACGAAAATCTGTACTGTCGAAAGTTATTGAAATTTCAGAAAATAATATTTCTAAAAAATCATTAAAGAGAAATTGTGAAACTAGGTGGATTAAACGATATCATTCAGTTAGTGATTCTTTAGAACTATTTGAATGTGTAGAAGAAGCTCTTGAAGAAATTTTCGAGTAGGATTATACAGACACGTCAAATCAAGCTAGCGCTTTTCAAAATTTAATTCTCCAACTAGAATTTATAATTACGGTAGTAACAATTTCGAAAGTATTTGGACGTGGACTTCCACTATCAAAACAGTTTCAACAAATTAATATTGATTTAAAATTGATCATGGATTTAGTTCAAGATACTTTGATCAAGTTAGAAGATTATAGAATACACGGTCAGAAAAAATTTTGAAGACATTTTTAGCTGCTAAAAAAATTGCTGATAAGTTCAATGTAAAAATGACAATTCCGAAAATGAATAAAAAACAAATACATAGAATAAACATAGAAATTAATAATCCTGTAGAATATTTTCTCATATCGGTTTTTATTCCATTCTTAGACTTTTATAAGCCAATTAAAATCTAGATTTCTTAATCATAATGATATTTTGTTAAGTTTTCACTTTCTTTTTGACAAAAATTCTACAAAAGAAGAATTTATAATATTAGCTGAATTTTACGAAGATTTAAATATTAATAATTCATTAATAGAAGAGTTTCAACTGTGGCAAAGAAAACTTAAAAAATTGGAAATAAAACCAAAAAATATAATTGATAAATTGAAGTTGTGCAATGTAAACATATATTCAGGAGTTAATAAATTACTTCAAATTTTGTCAACACTTCCTATATCTACGGCTTCAAACGAACGGACTTTTTCATCACTAAAAATAATTAAAACATCTATGAAATTCCATATCTAAGGTAATAAAATATTACTAAGAAATTTTAATTTTAAAACTAATATTTGTGGTTATTTTGTTTTAGAAAATACTAAATGGATTGGCTATGTTAAACATTCACAGGAAAGTTGAAATTACTGTTGATGAAGTGATAGAAGGGTTGGCCAAGAAATCGAGACGACTGGAATTTATTTTATAACAATATTTTATAATATAGTGCTAAATACAATATATATACATATATATATATATATAATATTACATAAGTCTATACGATTATTACATTATATATTTAATCAACTTCAAAAACTGCATAAGGACGTAACTATTACAAGATATATATAGTTTATATAAATTATGTAAAAACTGTGGACCCCCCCCCCAGAAAAAATTGAAAATACGCCACTGCGTTGCGCTTGTCGTCTGCGTCTCCCAGGGCTTAGGTCAATTCTACTCATTGATAAGAGATAAAAATGAAGTTTCCAAATTCATTGACGCCAACGTCAAAAAAAAAAATTCTCTCCAATCTAACCTCTACAGTGTCATTAACATAATAACAAAAAAATACCTGAATTTCAAATTTATTTATTTTCAAATTCAAATTTCAAAACCAATATTTTTGAAAAAATTAAAAACTGGTCTGTTGTTCCATATATGAATAATCACAAAATATTATAGCTTGAAACTTAGTATAGTTAATAGTTCGCAATAAATTACATACTAGGCAAAAATAAATGATTGCGGAGTGTCGCGGCTAACGACAAGTTTTTATTTAAAAGTAAATTGTGTCTTTTATTGTGAGACTTTGAAGTTATTATAATCTAATTTGGTTTTAAACTATAAAATGTTTGTTTTGTCATTTTTTCCCTAGTAAATTGGGAGAATCAAATCCTAGTGTGTGTACTGAAGCGTTTGTGGTGATAAAACACTTTTGTAAAGTAACAAGATGTTTCTGTACTTATCCTGTACTCGTTATCGTGGTCACCAAAAGAAGAATTTAATAAGTTTTAACCGAAGGGTATCGATATTTACTCTTTGACGGCTTGAGACTCAATAATCGAAATATATCTGTTATATGTCAAGCCTTTGCGTGGCGAATACGACAGGTCATGCTGTAAAATACTATAAGTAGATCTATGTGAAAAATGTTCGTAAGGTCATCAAGTGATCGACAAAACGCGTATGAAAATGTAAAATTTCTTATTGTTTGTCATATTTAAAAGAAAATTGTTAAAATAAATTAAATTTCCACTTATTATTAATAATATTCCACAATTATTCACATCTGCTTAGATTATTTATTTTGAGTAATTGAGATACAATATGTGATTGTTCAAGAAGTGGTAGTGTGCTAATTGCAATAAATAATAAATTCTATTGTCGTATGTTACCCTTACCTCCCTGTTCCGTAGAACATTTATTTGTTATTGTCAAAATTTATTTCGTTTACTATATTTTAGGTAATACTTATTTTCCTCCTCGCCCACCTATAACGTTATACAATAAAAAGTTCGATATTATTAATGATCTATTAATTTCCTATCCCTACGTTAAAAATATAGTTTTAGTAGGTGATTATAATGCGCCAAACTTAAAATGGCAATTCACTTCTCCTTCCTGTTCACCTAACTATTTTAATTTAAATCAATTGTCAGTAGACTTTCTATCTAAAATTTCATTATTATGTTTATCCCAATTCAATACTGTTTTATATAAAAATAAAACCATTCTTGATCTAGTTCTTTCTAATATTGATAATATTACAGTTTCTAAATTTACGACTCCTCTTGTTCCTTGTGATATTCACCATCCATCTTTACTTATAATTATTCCTATTAATACTTATAAGCCAATTTATTATAATTTATTTACTTATGATTTTTACTCGTGAAATTACTCTGATATCATTAAATGCTCATGCTCAATAAATTGGGTTGAAATATTTTCAAATCTTAATGTAAATGGAGTTACAAATTAATTTTATTCTATTATTTATGAAATTATTGATGTATTTGTTCCAAAAAAAAATAATAACTCGTCAAAAATATCCTATATGGTTTGGTTTTGAACTAAACAATTTAATATTTAAAAAGAAAATAGCTCATAAAATCTTTAAAAACTGGTGCCATTAACAAATATAATAAATTCTCAAATTTACGTGTCCAGTGAAAAGCTCTCTCTAAATTAAATTACCAAAATTATTAAAAATATATCCAGGAAGATTTTAAACATTAACCATCCAAATTTTGGAAATTTATTAATGAAAAACGCAAAAAAACATTTCTACCTGACTGTATGTATTTAAATAATTCTAAATTTAACTCTCCAAATTCTATTGTTGAAGCCTTTGCTCAATATTTTGCTATTGTTTTTGAACATTATGATAACTCAAAATATATTGATCTAAGTACAGTTTCTCCGAATATTTCATTGCTGGCACCTTTATTTTCATGTAAAATCACCTTAATCGAAGTTTTTAATGCTTTAAATAACCTTAGTTCAAAGTATGGTCCTAGACCTGATTTAATTACAAGTTAGTCTTATTAACAATGTAAATTTGTCCTGTCTTCTCCTCTACTTTACAATTTTTAATTTATCTTTATCTAGTGGTATTTTTCCTGATGGATGGAAAACAAGTATTATCCTTCCTATTCCTAAGACATCATATATAGACTTATCAAATATTTCTAATTACAGGCCTATTTCTTTACTTTCAACTGCACCTAAAACATTCGAAACTATTGTGTCAGATATAACTCCTGAACTTGACAGAATTATTGTTGACGATCAACATGATTTTAGACCGTCTAAAACAACTACTACTAATTTACTTACCTTTCAACATTCCATAATTGATGCTTTTTCTGCTGGTTTACGTATGGATGTTATTTATACTAATTTCGCTAACAAAGCTTTATATAAAGTTAATCACACTATTCTTTTACATAAATTAAAATATATTGACGTATGTGGTCCTCTTCTTCAATGGAATGAGTCTTACATTTCACAGCGTACTCAAATTGTTGTTTATAAAGAATTTCAGTCAAAACCAATATTAGTTACTTCAGGTGAATTGACTGCACGCAATGAATTAAAATTAACCAAATTCATTCAAATTTAATGACTTACTGAAAGACCAGAGAAACTAACCACACATAGTAAAGCAAGTTAGGTTTCATTTTACAATATGTATATGGTAATACTAGTAACGAGGAAAACTTTTTTAGATGAAGAACAACATTAAGATTTTAATGACTAGTAAATATTATGAATTTTAATAATTTTAATAACATACATGATCAAAGTAAAATGTAACATATGCAAAATAAATGTAAAAAAATTTGTTACTGTGTAGTTTTGGAAAAATTTGAGGCCAGCCATTTTATAGAGTTAAGTATTTCACAACTTATCAATTCTATACACAATTATTTAAAAAATAATTAAAATAAACAAAGATATTAAAATTGCAAAACTATTTTATTGAATAGACTAAATTTATATATATATATATATATATATATATATATAAACTAGAGTAAATGAAAAACGACAATTGCGGCATAATATTAAGGTTAGTAGAGACAAAATAATAGGGCACATACACTACTCTATGATATCTTAACAAAGAATACTATAGAAGGCAACACGTAGGTTATATTAGAAGAGGAAGGCCAAGGATGAAATATATGAAACAAATCATGATTGACATGAGAAAGGATAGCTACAAGGAACTAAAGGAATCAAGCACAAATCTATTAACTATGCAATTCATAATATTCACAATAATAAAGGAAACTATACAAATCTATTAATTATAGAATTCATAATATTTAGAATAATCTAAGAAACTACATAGATAAAAGAATTCCAATCAAAAATTAAAGAAATTAAATAATACTTAAAATAACACATAAAATCACAATAGAATAAAAGTTGGTACTAATATGATAAAATGATTATCATATAAGTTATAAATTACATTATTTATTTAAAAAAAATCTTGAATTGCACTTAATTTTATCTAATTAGTTATAAAGAGTAAAATATTTCATATATAAATGATTTAATTGAGAGATAAATATTTTAAAATTAAACTACAGCTCCGATGTAATGTATTTCTTGATTCAATGGACAATTAGTGTATGGTTTATTATTATTTCTTCTGAATGTATCACAATCAATCAATGCCAATGTTTTATGAAAACATAAACGCACTTCATCAATATAAACCTTTTTAGAATCCTGAAAAATAATTTTATTTTTGAAATGAATAATAATGTATGAAAATTATAATTTGAAATTGGTTATCTCAAATATAATTTTTTAATTCAATATTCTATAAACTTGAAGGTGTGTCATTAAATAAACCTGATTATCAACACTAGTTCAATATTATACATAATATAGCCTATAAAATTAATTACAAATTAAATATTATTAAACAAATTTATAAATGTATTAAAGAAAAAATAAAAAACAAATCGCCAAATAATATTGTTAACTATTGTAGTATGAAATATCAAAATAAAATACCTAACAAATTTGCTAAAATTCTAAATAATAATACTAATAATGTAAAAATCATTTTTAAAACCAATAATTTAATTAAACAAATACATAATAGAACTAAAAACTTCATGTAATAATTCCATTATTTTTTTATTATTCAATCACGATTTTATTGACTTTATAAATATACAAAACAATGAACTTTTTATTTGAAATTGGTCTTGCTTTATAATAATACACAAAAATGTATTTATTTATATCTTTATTTTAATATGAAAAATGTTCTGCCTTGTAGTGTACATTATATATTTAAGTCTAAATAATAACATTATGCAACATACCTTATCTGTATAACAATCTATACGTGGATTTTTACCCAATCCAGTTTTTAAAGTAAGCCAAAACTGATTTACTGGATACGTGCCACCAGGCTTGATGCCTCCTTTACTCAATAATTCACTTAATTGGTATTGTTTAGACCAGTCTAATCCTTGTTTGAAATATTTTAGTTCTGAATTTAAAGCAGGAAGTGATTGAGCACATGTTCCATGTTTCATCCATTCATGTTTCCACAGGCCTCCTTCTTGTTTTTTTGTCCATGTTTTTGATCCTTTTATTTCAGTCCAACGATTGTGTAATTCAGGAATAATTTTATCCAAAAGATCTAACCTAAATGATGAATGATTGTTGCAAAAAGATGGACCATCTGTACCAATTTTAGTTGGCCTAAGATTAAATAAAAGAAAAACTATAAGTACTTAGATAATTTTTCATAATTATATAATAATATAATTTATACCATATTCCATGAATTGTCCACTGATTGCGATTGGCTGGTAAGTTGCATGTGTGAGTATTTGAATTAACAGTCCAAGTATGACAAAAAGTATAGGGCCATGACTGAGAAAATATTAACATATCCCATTCTTTGCTGCATTTTGAGAATAAAAATAAATATTTTAAGTTATCCTAAACTTTAATCCACGAACATTTTAAATATGATAAATTATTGAATACTTAAAAAAATCATTATTTTTTTTTTTTTTTAAGAATATGTGATTTTATTTTGAAATTATTACAATATATACATATATGTATGTATAAGCAATATTTGGAGGGGGGAATTGGGAATGATAGTGACATTATAGGAAGTCTCACATCAGAGACACCTAGTGGCTTTACATTTTAACTTAGTATTTTTAATTTCCTATCTTAGCTGAGTTACTATTAAATGAAAAAAACATTTTTCAAAAATTAAATACAATATATTTATTTAGTATCTACTAAGTAAAGCAACAAGCCATTTTGGGCAGGCTTGTAACATTCACAGAACTTACATTTTTCATTAAATAAATTGAAATTGTTATTTTATCGGTGTTATCACATCTTACACAATCAAAAACTGCAAAATTGCATTGACAGTACATTCGACTCTCAGTAACTCAAAGTTCAAAGAGAAAAAAAAATTTGACTTACTAAAAATTTTGAGTTATAAAAAACTTTTTAAAAGTATGTTTGTATTTTTAAATAATTTTTACATTAAATAAATAAAAAAAAAAAATTTCCTAAATTCCTACTAACATGTTATTATTTTTAAAGAATAGGTGTAAAGTTAATTGTTTTTATTTATTTAATACATTATTCTCAATTCTATATTCTATAATACCTACCTAGTAGTTTAAATAAATCTTCCATACCTTCATTGCCTTCAATATATTTATGTAATGTTTCAAGTGTCGCTTCTTTATTTGTAACGATGGATAGTATTTGTTGGTCTTCAAATTCTTCTTCATTATCTTCATCCAATATATTGGAGATAATATCGTTCTCAGTTGATTCTCCTCAAATCTCCAAATTTTCATCGACATTAATGTATGATGTAAAAATTTCATTAAGACTTATTTTCTCAGTTAATTGATTCCATTCATCGTTATTATCATCAGAAAGTTCTTAAGGAATATTTTTAATCAAAGTTCTTCTAAATTGTTTCTTTTTTTACGTGTTGTTTACAATACATAGTTATAAGCGAAAACTAATAGCCTTGATAAACGATTTTCAGCACTAAATTTGGATAAAAAAATTCGAGATATCGAAAACTAGTAAAATTAATTTTTGAGTTAACAAAATTATTTTCACATTAAGAGAATTGTTATTTGAAGGGGAATTTTAATTAAATAATTAATTTTAATAAATAAGATATCGAGAATTTCGAGTTATCAAGGTTCAAGTTACCGAGAGTCAAGTGTATAATCAAAATTATTATTTGTTATCTATATATAAATTATTATGATCATGAAACAAATTAGTAAATCTAACTAATTTGTATAATTTAAATAAATAAAAATTTACTTAATAGGCCTGACACCTAAAGAGTTTAGAATAAGTTTAGTCAAAATAATACTCTAAGAAAATATTTAATTCTTAGGTTAAAATATTAATGATAACCTTAAAATACCTTAACATTTTATGAAATAACTAGACAGGCCCGGCTCAAGTGTTTAAATAAACATAGGCGAAATTTAGTTTATGCAGCCTCTTACGTGTAAATATTTTATCAAATATTTTTTTTTTATACATAAAAAATGTTCAGAAAAATTGCCGCCCTAGGCGTGGGCCTACGTCGTCTACCCCTTGAGTCGGGCCTGTAACTAGAAAATAGAAATAGCTAAAAAGCTAGTTTTTTTTAAAAAAAAAATACAATATAATACTTCAGTCAAAACAATTTTGACTTTAGTCAGTGTCTGAAAAGAAAATATTAATTTTTTTTTAGACTAAAGTATTAATTTTTTACAATAAAAAAAATTTAATTTTAAATAGAAAATAAAATAAGTATTTTAATATATATATATATATAAAAAAAAAAAATGAACATTTAAACCTAACTGGGGTGAATCAAATAAAACCTACCACCTACTTCCCCACAAAAAAAAAAATCTCAGTTCGGTCAATTTTTTTTTAACTTAAAAGATAAAAATATAAGTTCAAAAATTATAACCTGAATGTTAAATTTGATTTTTTTTTTATCTGGTCAAAATTTATCGAAAAAATGCAATGTTTAACTAGAAATGTTCACCCTAAATTACTTACCAAAACAAATAATAAATATTTATTAATTTATATATTTACCTAAGAAATATTGAAATTTTAAGTTTTGAAAATGAAAGACAAATTAATTACACCACACTATTTTTAAGCCATTTTATCATTTTCTAAAATAGTCTTACTTATTTAATGAAAAATTGTATACCGTTGAATATATGGGAACGAATTTGATCGAATTAAATTTTGATGAAATGTAGAATTTGTACGAGGCTGATAAGAATTTGATCTGTTAAAATTTTGAGGCTTTATAGTTGTCCACTCATTTACTTTTCTTTTTGACCTGAATAGCACTAATGAGTTTCTGAAAACATAGTACTTTGGAAATTGTTATATTTAATTTTTTTTTTTCCCATGCGATTAATAGAGTACTAACATTATATAATAATTGGTTATTTTTATGGAAAAAGATAAAGTTAAGAATAATAGAAGCAAACATAATACAAGTATAATTTACTCATTATCAGTAGAATTTGAGTTCGTAGAATTAGAATTTATAGAAATATTATGTTCGGGAACGTAATCCAAATACAAAATAGGTTTTTTCACATCACAATCAGTTAATAAGTGAGCTGCTTTGCTGTTTCCCCTTCGAAACTTCATGATGCCATCACAATCAATTAATGTTAAAGTTTTATCAAAACATATTCTTATTTCTCCCAATAATTGTTCCTTTGTATCCTATAAATAATCACTGAAATTAAAACACATGATATAGTAAAAAAATCAGGGACCAGAACATTTTTTAATTTATTAATATTGACCTATTTTCATGTTTATATATTCTAGTACTTGATTTAAATACAGTTATAAGTTTTCTTTGCAAGAATATTAAAAGATTTGATCCCAAAGCCCACTTTTTAGGTTTGGTTCTAGTCCCTGAAGAAAATATACACTAATTTTTTTATAAATGGATAACTTACACTTTTATACACACAGTGAACATATGAATTTGTTTTCAAAACTGACTTAACAGCTTTCCAATAATCAGTAACAAAATTTGATGTACTGTTTATTTTTAAACCAGCTTTTTCTAAAATGTTTTCTATGTTATATTTCTCAGACCATTCTATTCCTTGATAAAAATATTTAAATTCAGAGTCTAGGGCTGGTAGAGACATAGCACATGAACCATGTTTTACCCACTCATGAGCCCAAATACTTTCTTTTTTATGAGATAAAGTTAAATTAGAAGCATTTAATAATGTAGTTTCTGTAGTATTACTAGGTAGTAATTCAATATCGGTCCAATATTCATTTAATTTATCTTTAATGCTGTAGATGAAATCAGGATTAAATACTACTGATTTGTTACAAAACACTGGACCCAATGTTCCAATTTTGGTAGGCCTAAAAAAGATATATTACAAATATAATAAATTATTGCTTAAAAATGAATAAATTAAAGTTTTAGCAAAACTTTTTCCCGTTCATAATAATAAAAATTAAGATTACCTCCTAATAAGACAAATTTAAAATATTTAACTATTATATAATAATATATATATATATATCAATACCTTAAAAAATTAATACAAAATAAAAAAACTTTACTAAAAAAATACAAATCTCTCAATATGCAAGATTATAGTTCATTATGAAAAAGCACAAAAATATGTAAGAAGTTAAAAAAATATTCATGTCTTAGTATAAAATCAGAAAATATAAAATATCTATCATCTAATTTGTAATATAAACACTCTAATATCCAAACTACTAGGTAGTTTAAATTATGTACATATTACGCCAAATTTATGAAATTGCTGATTTCATGAAATCATGTAAAAAAAATAATATGTAATTTGGCGTGTAACCCAAACCATACTTGCCAAAATATTTAAATATAATACAATTTTTTTTTATTTACTTTTTTTACACATTAAAATGTATTTATTATTGTATTATATTTCCGGTGTTTTACACATTTATTTAAATTAAATTGTGCTTTATAATTTTTTAAGAAGAGCCTTGCTGACTTCACGCAATTGGCAGTATTATGAACTTTGAGTTGCTGATTTCACATATTCGGTGACCACATTGCTGATGTCATGAAATTGGCAATTTCATAAATTCGGTGTAACATATATAAGCATATGTTTTTATATAATAATAAAAATTATATTTATAGAAGTAATTGTTATATGAATAAATATTTTTCCTTGATATATATATGTATAGACCAGGGTTAGACTAGGCCACGGGGCACCGGGGCATGCCCCGGTAGGATGCTGTAATTTTGGTTGAATAAAATTACTTAGATTTTTTTGTTTTTAATTTAATGCATCTATCTTCTATTCTTAAAATAAAATAAAAAATATCGTCTTGTAACATGATATTACTTATGGATGCGGTGACACAGGATTAAGTAACTCGGAGTTTGAAAATTTAACATATTTAATGTTGCAATAGGCCAATTATAACAATGATTTCATCAGAATATTTATAAATACAAAAATTGTAGGAAATTTGAATACAAAAGATGTGTACAATATGTTAATCATACGAAGTACCGTTCGCATTTGTTCAAACAACATTTTATTAAAACAAAATGTTGGTATAGGTTACGGTCTTAGAAGATTAATTTTCTAAGACCATGGTATGGGTAGACATTGTCGCGCAAGATATGCAATAACAAAATTGTTTTTCGATAATAATAATTTTTATAAGATTTATTAGACTTTTATTTAAAAACATTTTAATAGTTTTGACGTTCAGTCAATAACAAGTCTGTTACTAGTTTTCAACCTTAATGGACCTTTGGGCCACATTCACAAATTAAAAATGGTTCTAGAGCCAGACAATATAAAAAATGTATATGATATTCAATGACATTTGCTAGTTTTGAAATTTACTGTGGGCTGCATAAAAGAGACATTAGTTACCGACCCCACTGTTCTAACTCAATTAAAATTAAACGTATAAACATATTTAAATCAAATCATTTTTTATGGTGTAAAATTTATCTTAAAAGGTAGGTCATTATATCAATATTATAGATAAGATATATTATGCGTAAACTAGATTTATTTAAGGTATAACATTAAATCTGAAAATATTCAAATGTACTCGTGTGAATATTGTTTTTTGAGTTACGAAGATACATTTTCAGTTAAACAATAATTTGATAAGGTACCTACCTACTTATAAAGTTCCAATGAGGCCATTTGAAATTATTTTGCCCGGTCCGAGCTATAAAGCTAGTCCAACCCTGGTATAGACATTATATATATTTCAATACATATATATAAACATAAATTATACACACAGTAATTATTTAATAATATAAGTACATATATCAAAAAAATTACTGTATCTATATCTGAAAAACTTATTGTGTATAATCTACATCTTGTAATAATTATATTAAATAAAAACTTAAATGTATATATTTCTAAATTAATTAATCAATATTTAATATAAATAATTATTTTAATAATGCTATAATTAATAATATAGCTGATTAAAAGAAACTCAGATAAAAATACTTGTAATAAATTAATAATATTATTTATCTATATTTCTATTTAATCATAATTATAAATTTTTAATTACGGTTTATGACTTATGTGCTTTGGAATACATATACTATATAATATATACAGGGGCATATTTATGGGGGGACGAGGGGGCCCGGGACCCCCTCCGAAATGAAAAACACCATTGTTAAAGATTATTATTTTTAACATGGATATGTCTTAATACTGGGGATTTTCAATAATTTGTCGCAACACTGAGAATGTTGCTTACGCGATAATTTAAAATTTTATATTTATAAAATATGTTTATGCTTTTAAGAAAATATGTGGTGAATTTTGAGTAAATAATAAAAAATTTGTTTATTACAATGTAGTTTTTATACTTTTAAAAAATAATAAATCATTAAAAAAATTGAGTTTCTTATTTCTTTGATGGTGTAAAGACAGTCAAGAAGTCTTATAGTGTTAAAGAAATTTTTTTTCGTAATAATGTGCTTCCTTCTTCCTTTCCATCCAAAAATCAAATACATAATCGGCCCCCTCCAAAATGAAAACCTATATACGCCACTGAGTATATAAATATCTTAATGCCAACGTTTTAAATATAAATTTAGTAATGATTACAATATTAAAGCAAAATTAACCAAAATGTCTTAATAAATATTGAGTTAATTTATTCTATTATATAGCTTAAATAATCAGATCTCAAATAAATATATATATTTAAAAGAAAATATTTTCTGGTTTAGGGATTACTTAAAATTCAATCAACAGAGGCATGGCAAAGAATTATTTGAAAGACAGTTTCCTCTGAGACTTTTGTAAGTAGGAAGATTTTTGATGTATAAATTAAGCTAAATTCAACTATTTTTTTTATTATAAAACAATTTTTATAAAGTATAACCTCAATGATCACAGAATATATAATTCTACTTTTTACTATGGTACAACAATATAGTATATACTTTATATTATTCAAAAATAATGATCCTAACCAAAGTAAAGGTGAGGGGTTTTGATCGGTAAATGAATGGATTAAATGTCATAACCTGTCTAATTTTATACTTCACTGATAATCCCAATGTAAAAGCATAAATTAAATTGTTAAGACTATAAGCAATAATTTTTTTATTTTTACATCTACATGAAATTATCAATATAAAGCCAAAAGTATTAAAATAATACCAACCATATACCATGTATGGTCCACATATTTTTTTTTGGTGGATAGTAACATTCATGTGAAGCATTATGAATTTTCCACGTATAACATACAGTTTTTGGCCATGATTGTGTGAATATTAATAGATCCCAACTGTTAGAATCAATGGGAGGACGTTCATGTTTCATATTGAATCTGTTAAATAGATAATAATTCACATAAATTTTCATTTTAAATTTATGAATGTAAATTAATAAAATTACCCCAAATATAGTGTACCAAGTCCAAATGTTATAATTGCTGCTGAAAGCAGCGCTGTTCTCTTGTTCATTCCCATTTCAAGGATCTATTAGTTAATAAAATAAATAAACATTTAATGTAAACTTTAAAAAAAAAAAAATTTAATTATTTAATTCAATGTAGAATTTTATTAAAAATTATTTTTACTTAAATGTAAGATAATTTATTTTTATACAATTAACATTTTTGTTAATAAGTACAGAATTTTTTATTTTTACTTACATGTAACACTTGCTTTAAACTAATGGTTTCATACTAAAATTACTCAAAATATTGAATAGAAATTACTAAACTGTTGTAGTTATCTATAGTAAATACAGAACATGTAGACGTAGTATAACAGATCGATTAAAAAATTATATTCATGAATATATAAGCTTCATACGTCAATGATTATGTCGCCATAGTGAAAACTGCATGAGTAACCATATTGTGAGCAGTACATGCCAATTAAAGTAAATCGCGAATTACACTTTTACACAATCCATATGGTATGAATAAATGCGCTATCGAAAAACATCTATCGAATTTTTCGATAGTTCTATTTTGCAAATTTACTTACACAATATATTTTTCTAACATCAACAAATAATAATTTACATCATTTTGTTAATAAAGTATTTAAATTTTTTAAATACAATTTTTAATTAATTTTACAATTTCCAATTATTATATATTATATTCCAATATATTATATTGCTATTTTGTAAATACTGCTACTATAATGCTTATCATTCATTTTAAATATGATATTTTATTAGTAGCTAATATTGATAGCAAGTAACAATAACATTGTAGAAATCATTATTTTCGTTAGTTGCCAGGATCTTGTCAACAAGCGGTAATATTTGTTTAACTAGAGTTGCCATACGTCCTAAAAAACTGGAATTGTCACCGATTTTGGACTTCGCGTCCCAATGTCTCGAAAAATTGTTTCGGGACGTCCAAATGGGACGGCTTAGACGTTTAGAGGAAATGTAGTAATGTTTAATTTTTAATTTCGACTATTTTATTTCAAAGTAAATTTTTAATTGTAATCGGTTAACAATATATACATAATAAAAACATTATTTGTAATTAACACATATAAAAATTTAATATATTTTATTTTACAAAAATATTTTTAAATATTATATTGCCAGCCATCAATAATCCTCTTCAGTGGCGTATATATAACTTTTGTATGGGGGCGGAGGAATCATTTGCAAACAAATTATTATTTTTTTTTACGTTTCTAACGCCCTCACACTATGAATATTATTTTATGATGTTTAAAAAAAGGCCTAGGGGAATTTAACATCCATATTCCTCCCTTGTATGCGCCACTGGTCCTTTCAATATATTAAAAGTTATATAAAAAGTTTATTATTCAATATTGTGTTTGTGTTGTCTCGGTTTCGCCTTATAAATTTATGGCAACCCTATGTTTAACTGATGTTATATTTGAATCGTTTCCAATTATTCTGTATATTATTTAAACAATGAAACTATGAACTATTTAGTATGAAAATGTTAATAATTGTAATTGGAAAAATAACATGAATATTAATTAGGAATCATATTTAATTGGCTTTATTTCAAAAATATTTTTTCCAAATAGAATAGAATTTGTACTATTTAATTTGAAAACAATAGAAAATAACGAATTATAAAATAAAAATAAGAAAAGTTTTCATACAATAATCATAGTTTGAAAACATTCGCCATTCTGATTCCAATGTAAAATTAAGTTTTACCCGTGCGATAACAATATAAACCGGCCGAATTTCAATACACACCAACACCACAACCTACCATATAATAATATTATATAATCTATAATAAGATAGTATTCTATGTAGTATTATATACTCTGTAATCCACATCTATAAGATAAGAAAAAATTGTTATTTGTGCAATACAAATTTTCATTTGTATATATATATGTATATATATATTTATTATGTAAACATAATTTCCATATGAAAACAAAGTTTTCTTCATTTAGACTAACTTGGGAAAAAAAATATATTCTTTAAAAGATTCCTTGCATTTTTTTACGTAGGAAAAACATTTTGCATATGTTTTTGATTATGCATTATTTACTTACAAAATTGTTCTGAGAAAATATAAAACAAAATATTTTAAAATTATTTTTAACAAAATATACTGAGAGGCAAGAAACACTAATAAAATATTTTACAATAATAATAATAAATAAATAAAAATTTAATACATATAACAATAACTTAAACATTGTACATCTAAGAAATAACTTATTAATATTTAATATTGAATATAAAAGGTTTACAATTATTATATAAGAAAAGTCACATAATTATTGATAATTTATTATAAACTTAAATTAATAGGAGCTTAAATCATTTTAAAATGATATCATAAGTTTCTTTGAAATTAAGTATAAATGTTAGCAATGATTTTATATCAACATTTTATTAGTAGTGTTTTAGATATTTTTTTTTATATAATCCTAAACTAATAAACACAAATAAAACCAAACCTCAACAGATTAATTTAGGAAATATATAATTTGTACATTATTAAATAAAACTAAAAATTAAAATAAATAAATGCTAAATATTAATATGCATTAACTCATTGAATATAATTTAATCAAGTTAATGTGTGGTTAATAAAAAAACTTCTATTAAAATAATTACACAAGAATAAAACAACATGAAGTATTATTTTAAAGTTAGTTCTACTCATTAAATGATAAATAGAAAATTTTAATTTTTAGTAATTGTAAAAATTAATTAATTATGTTTAGCAATATTTTATATTTCAACAGAATTGAATGCAAAATAATTGATAAATTATATTGTTTTGCACTTAATGCAATTTTGATTAACATATTAACAAATATTAATCTTAATACAATAATTTTAGGTGAAATAAAGATGTTTTATTAATTATTGAAACTACATGAAGTACATAAATATGACACAATAAAATTATATATTGAAACATATTTTTCCTTATGAAAATTTACTAACAAAATAAACATATAATAAACGGAATTTTTAATATAACTATGGACTAAGCGTTAGTCATTAACTACCCAATTACTAATAAACAGTTTATATACAATTTAAAATTAAAATTGTATGGAAAATTTGAGTAAAAAAATAAAATTTTGATCATAAAAATTAAATAATACATAAAACATGCAATTAATATATTATATTAATTCAATTAGATAAAATTTTTATAAATTATTGTGCATCTTCCAATTTTCGCCATACCACCTACAAAAAAATTCAAACTTATATAATTTATAAAAATATTTTATTAATAAATGTATATTACATTGCACATTTCTCTAAGTAATGCTTTTTCTTCATCTTCCATATCAACACCATTATTACTTTCATCTCCCTTATCTTCTAATTGTTCACGTAGTTCTAATACTTGAAGAGCAGTTAAAACAGATTCTGGATGTGTCATTTTCTACAATGAAAAAATATATAATTAAAATCTACTAATATATTTGTTAAACATAGTTTGTAATATTTTATGGTTAAGAAAATAACATAGAAAAAATATATCCTTGTAGTCAATCAGAATTTGAAATATCTTTTCAAGATATTATTCAATTTACATAATATATCATGTCAAAATTTAGTTTTCTGCGAATAAAATTTATCATATAATATCTATGGCAGATCCAGGTAGGGGGCACAAAAGTGCCCCCTTCTGTTAATGGACTACAAAATTTTTTTTAATGATTATTTATTTATTTATGTATTAATTAAATAATAATTAAAATTAAATATACACACATATATATATATATAATCGTTAGACAGCCGGTGTTATTGAATGTCAAAGGCCATTACTTTATGGAAGCCTATAAATCTGCATCAATATTTTTTAATATGTTGTCATCAAAAATATTGTGTATTACATCCGTCACAACAGCGACTTTAGTATGATCATTCAGTTAATTGAAACAAATATATTAATAATTAATTTAATACACATAATGAATTTAGAAAAATTTTGGATTCGCCTCTAGATTAGGTAATCTCAATATTATAATATTAAAATTAACTATTGTTTGTATTTTTTTTTTTTTTTTTATGAAGTTTTAATTAAATACCATACATTTATTAAGATATAATATAAAAAAATACTTACTGGAAAAGAACCATCGGCATTCCAACTACTAATCTTTTGATCAATTTTTTCTTCTTGGGTTATCTTTTTAGATAATTTATTTTTTTCATCTTCTAACTCTTTCACTTTAGCTTCTAGCTGTCTTATATAATTTAATGATCTTTGATCATACAGTAGATGTTGATCTATAAAAATTAATAAATAGGATGCTTAGAATTAAAATTATAAAAATAATAATTTATTATCTTTTACCACTAGATTGATTTAACTGTCTATGATATATGGCTTGATTTTGATTACCAGATATCATATTTTCATCAGCATTTGTAGATGAGCTACTACCATCGCCTTCATCTCGTCTGTGTAGTTCTTCAGGTAAATTTCCAGAACCAGAAGAATTTCCACAAGCTCTACATACAGAATTATCTCTTAACCTATTTGGTCCACATCTTTCTTCATCTAAATATAAGCACAATTCCTAAAAACAAAATTATAATTTTTTTTAGAAATATTACAAATAGATTTTAGAGTAAACGAAAACCTTAAGTTCCATGTTATCTTCAATGAGATGCTGTTGTTTAGCTTCAAGATGCCTTAATTTAACCTGATATGCAGCAACTTCTTGTCTCATCACAGAAGCTGTATATCTTCCAAATCTTTGCCATTCTCTAGCTAGTTTTCGTCCTTTTTGTCTATCATCATCCAAAAAACAACATAAATCACGTAATTCTTGATTTTCATCATTCAGTCTTTGATTCACTTCTTTTAAACCATTGATTTCTGCCATCAACTGCCCCACCTTAAAATATTAAATAGAACAAAATTAAGTTCTATACTTGAATAATTTGAGAAATCCTTAACTAACCTGATCTGAAGATATTTTGTTTGTATTGTCCGAATCTATTTTCCGTACAAACTTCAACATATCCGTTGGTTGCTCTCCTGGCAAAGTTCGATATCTATGATTGTCCACTGTATTGGCATATGGCTTTTCACTTTGTTGTCTTCTAATCAAATTAATAATTAACAATGACTTATTAGACCTTAGCCCAATTATTCACTCGTAGTACATTAATTGAATAAATATTATTATAATTGATACTTGATTAAATAGTTTAAATTCATACAAGATATAATTATTTAATTATTTTTTACCTGTCAATATTAGATGCTGAGTAATTATTTAGTTGTCCATTAAATTGACAACTAGGGCTTGGTGGTGGTTGATACTTAGGGGGTATTACAACATTTGATTTTTGGCTGGTTGTATTGTTTTGGCCATTATAATTTTTTGGCAATCCACTAACACAAGACATGATAAAACATCTATGTACGATTGACCATGTTAAATTACATACATAAAGTAAACCATATTATAAACACTGTAAATCTAAAACAAAAATAATAAAAATCATTATTCACATAAACAATACGAAAAAATACGTAATTTTAAAAGAAAAACCATATGAAAGTAGAAAATTTTTTATATAATTTAAATTTATTATAATTATTTAAGTATATAATATAAATACAAACCATATAAAGTTTTAACTGTTCAGAAATTATTAAATGAAATACTAATCCATTAATTATAAGCAATTGAAGAGGGAAAGTTTTCTCAAAGAAATTCACCAACACGACAACTGAACGATAAGTGGGTAAATAATATTTAATATTGTCAAATATTAAATTCTAAATAGAAGCAGAAAAAAAAGTGATAGCATACAGCGACCTGTTTAATATTTACAATATAAAGTCAAAATTCTTTGGACAACCTGTTAGAAACAGGTTCTCTTTTTGGTACTACCACAAAAATATCAAGATGTAGAACACAGCAACCACTCTATCAACTGTTGAACAAATATTCCAAAGAGGATATTAACGTATTTATTTTTTAAATTTTTTTTTTTACTGGACCATACAATTTTTTGACATTTTAAAAATTATGAAGCAGATAAATAATTTCCGTAAATTATAAGCTTTTAAATAATGACTTTTAATCTAGATTGAAACCCTATTCGCTCCACATAAATTTATAAATAATAGTTAAATATCACAAAATAATTTGCTAATACCTAATGAACTTAATTTGACAGTTTTATGTGTAAGTTTAGCAAATTAATTTATAACCTAACTTTTGCAGAAGATCGCATTTTCTTAACCCAACAAAAGCGCAGTAAACGTTATAGTAGGTATGTAGTATGCAATCGTTGGAAATCAAAAATCCTAATTTTTTTTATTATTTATAAATTTTTTATGGTTACTAGCACTGTATCCCTTCTAACATAAACTACCGGAAATTCTATAACGTTGTACATTTATACATTTCGTTTGTTACAGGTAAATACCATTCAATGTGATTTTCCATTTTATTGCTTTTGAAGTATTGCATAAGTACATTTTTCTGAAAAAGATTAAGACATTTTTTTATTACGTGTTATTTATTTTTTTATAAATTACCTAAAAAATGAGTCAAGCTGAAGAATGGGATGAATGGGAATCGCCATCTAATGTACCATATCAACCTCCTCCTCAACGACAGTTTAGGCAATCATTTTCTAAACAATTTGAAATTAATTCAAATGATTTGCTCATGGAAATAGATTCGCGCTTTGCAGGCATGGTGATTGGTAAAGGTGGCGTGAAAATTAAAAGCTTAAGGAAGGAGAGTAGTGCTTTTATTTCAGTCATCGATAGTGAAAATTATGGATCTAAAGTTGTAAAAATATCGGGTAGTGCTGAAGCCAAAGAACTTGCTCAAAAGCTTATTAAAGATATAATCGCTGAGAATGATCCAAACAAGATTTTACAAAAATTACAAGAAGAGTCTAAAGCTAGCGAGTCTGTTCAATCTATTTCTAATTTTGATTGGGATCAATTAATGCTAGAACAAGCAGAAAACCTTAAAAAAAAGTTAGCAGCTTTACCACCAATTGTTAAGGATTTCTACAAAGAACATCCTGAAGTATCCATGATGAGTGATGAAGAAGTAGAACATTTTAGAGTGTCCAAGAATAATATTATGGTTAAATATATTGATGAAAATAATGTAAACCCAATTCCAAAACCAGTGTTAAAATTTTCACATGCATTTGAAGATTATCCAGATATATTAATAGAAATGCAAAAACAAAAGTTTGAAACTCCTTCACCAGTACAGTGTCAGGCCTGGCCAATTATTATGAGTGGCCATGATTTAATAGCTATTGCTCAAACTGGAACGGGTAAAACATTGGCATTTTTGCTTCCTGCTTTTATTCATATTGATTTTCAACCAACTCCTCGTAATGAACGGAAGGGACCATCAGTATTAGTATTAGCTCCAACTAGAGAATTAGTTTTACAAATTGAAAGCGAGGTATGTACAGGAATTAAATATTTTTTGAATTTTCGATCTAATACTACTGTATATTTTCCATTGATTAGATAGATTTTTTTTCAAAATATTGAAGTTTTATTAAATTAAAAGATACAATTAATTTTTGAAATATGAAAATTTGAAGAACAGTGTTAAAGACGAATTTGATATTAGATAAAATGATTTAACTCCCATTTCTTAACTAAAAGTCTTAACTAAATTACAAACCAAAATTTTTTTGTGTAATACAATGATCAGATCTGTCATATAGAATCTAAATTTGGGAGATGATCAAACATTCCAACATCCAACCCATCCAGTCTTTCCAAAATATTGCCCTACGCACTATACTGATGCTTTGTGGTCCATGACAAATCTTTTATCTCACCATGACCTCAAAGTAAAAAATAACACAGATTACACCAAATCTACTATCACCGATTCTACTCCAAACTCAACTCCAGTACTAATTCCCTCATTAAAAACATGGCCATCCCATATATCCCAGATAACTCCCATACAATTAGAATCATGATCTACTTAAGTGATAGTAAATCTAACTAATAGTTTGTAGGTGTCGACAATGGATGACTTCCTTAAAAGTAATTCTTAATATCATGCGTTTATACATAATCTAAATTACTAAATATGATTGTTTGTATAGATTGTTTTATTTAAAATAAAATTGCTACTATTGAATTAAATAAAATGTGTTGGTTTTAAAATTATGTTATATTTTTTAATCATACTTTTAGGCAGTAAATCTGTTTTGAATGTATCTGTTTATTTTTATTTTTAATAATTTGTATTTAATATAAATGTTCATGCTAAACAATAATATTGTTAATTTACTTAGTGGATAATGTAGATACTTAAGACATGCTATTTTTTGATTTTTTCAGTAGTTTATTTAATATTAGTGAAAACAATTAACTTGAATATAATATTTTAATTTTCCCAGATAGTAATTTAAATTAGTATTAACATTGACAAAATAATCATATTTATAAATTTTAAAAATTATGACTCCAAGTAAAATAATCAACTATCAAATTGATGTTTTAATACGTAGTTTTCAAGTTACATATAAATAAATTAAATTCAAATATCTTATCAATTATTATTTTGATTTATGAAATAATACAAAACTTATAACATGTCAATGTTTCTTTATGTTTCAATTATAATTAAATAAAAAAATTTATCAACACATATGTTGGTAAATGGTTCATTATCAATAGTTAATTTAAGATTTTTTTTAGTAAGATTTAGTGCAAATACATAAAATACTATTAAAATAATTAAACATATTTTCAAGGTAATAGCCATTTTAGATGTGACCCAAATACTCCTCTTAATTAAATTACCGTTCAATTTAAAATAATAACTCTGTGAACATATGATTGTTATATATTATTGAGAATGTTATATATTATTGAAAAAAAATTATATTTTTTGTTTAGGTTAAAAAATATAGTTATAAAGGAATTAAAGCCATGAGTATTTATGGTGGTGCTAGTTCTGGGAAACAAAAAGAATGTTTACGAAATGGAGTTGAAATTGTAATTGCTACTCCAGGTCGTCTTAATGATTTTGTTGGTAGTGGTGCTATAGACTTATCTGATGTCACATTTTTGATACTTGATGAAGCTGATCGTATGTTGGATTTGGGTTTTGAACCACAGATTCGTGTTTCATTACTTAAAGTAAGACCAGATAGACAAACCATAATGACAAGTGCAACCTGGCCTCCTGGAGTTAAACGTCTGGCTAAAAGCTATACAACTAACCCGATTCAAGTAATGGTTGGGTCATTAGATTTGACAACAGTCAACACTGTTAAACAAGATATTTTAATAATGGAAGAAGAAGAAAAAGAATTATGGATTGAAGATTTTCTAAAGAACTGCAGTGAAGATGATAAGGTATAAATTATTTTTCTAATATTTTAAATACTTAAATATTCTTGTATTTATTTAATAAGAATTAATAAATTAAACATTCTACTAATATAAATATTTTTTATTTAGGTTATAATATTTGTGAACCGAAAAGTAACAGTTGATCAACTTTCATCAGATTTAAGTATGAAAGGCTTTACTGTTGAATCTATCCATGGTGGTCGTGAACAATGTGATCGTGAAATGGCTTTAGAAAGTTTACGTAATGGAGAAGTTTCTATTTTAATTGCAACTGATGTAGCTTCTCGTGGCATTGATATTAATGATATAACAGTTGTAATAAATTATGATTTTACTAAGGATATTGAAGAATATGTACACAGAGTCGGTCGAACAGGACGTGCTGGCAAAACTGGTCGAGCTATTACTTTAATGACTCGGAGAGATTGGAGTAAAGCAAAAGAATTAGTTGAAGTTATGGAAAAATCTGGACAAGATGTACCTCCAGAGTTAAAAGAAATGGCTAAAAGATATGAAGCAAAAAGAGAAAGAGAAAGAGTTGAAGGAGGTGATAGACCATTTAGAAGTGGTCGTGGTGGTGGTAGAGGATTTTCTAGAGGTGATCAAGGATTTTCAGGAAATAGAAGAAATAACTGGTAAATTTATAACAACTAATTTATGAAGTTCTTTGATCTCATGAATAATTATATGTTATTTATTATATCTTTGAAAATATTTTAGTATTAAGTACATGTTATTTAAAAATAAGATTGCATTGTTATGTTATATATAATACTGTTTTTTCAATATAAAATAATAAATTGTATTTTCTAAATAATACACTTATAATAAAGTTCATATGAAACCATGTTAGATATTTAATTATTTATTTTTAAGTATTTTTTCAAAAACGAGAAGTCATTTGAAGAACTAATATTAATAAATATAAACATATCAGAATAATTATTAATTAATTATTAGTTTATATTAATAATACTAAATAACACATAGTTAGGGGTTTCTTTAAATATTTTATGAGTTAATAATTTTAGGTAGTAATATCATTAATGTTACAATTAATAGAAATCTACTGCTCAAGGATCAAAAAATTTTAACCTGCACAAATCATATTCAAATGAAAGAGAAGCATTTAACTAATGTTTAACTATATAAGATTGTACTTAATTGATTTATAATCCTTCAAAAACTAAGTAAAAAATATAAAGTCTGTTTTGTTGCATATTACAATGTAATCATGATCAAATTTAACTCAAATTTCTTTCTTATAATTATGAACAAAATGTGGGGTGAGAAATTATAAATTGAAAGTTAAAAATACATATAAAACCAATAAAATTTATTAAATTAGTTTATCAGAAAATAAAACAATAATGTATACCATTCTCTAAAAATCTAATATAATAACGACAACATTAATATTTTATCATTTTTTTTATTACTCATTTTTTATTTTTTCGATTTATAGCCACAAAAAAACTAGCCTTGGACTTCGTGTTTGACATACCTGATGTAGATGTTTGTATTTAAAATTTAAAAAATTTATAATCTATAAATATTGAACAAATTAATAATGATTTTACAATAGTTTAAAATGATATAAAGATGAAAACTTGAACTAATTATTCTAGTTGGCATAGCTACATATTACATTTTTATTCAATACCAATAATACTTTGTATTAGGAAGTTACCTGAATAAATTTATTTAAATTTTTTTATTTGTTTTGTTTAACTATGATATATTATATATATAATATATTATATTGTTAACAAGGAAGTTACTTTAAACATTTAAGAAATCAAATTATCAAGTTTTTTGTCAACCATTATTTTGTGATGATTTAAATGAATTGGACAGATTTAACTTGGAAATGTACTTAGGTTTTTTGGGCTGGAATTAATCCTGGTTTGTATTTTATAGTAATGACTGATGTATGAAAGATGATATGATTAAAGACAGGGCTTTGCACCAGAATTAACCCAAACCCATAACACCCCTAAAAATCAAACACCCAAAACCCATATAACCCGAATGATTTTTTTTTTTTTAAACACCCAAATTAACCAAAATCCGAATAAAATATTGGTTATAATTTTAATAGATATTATAATTTATAAGTTTCATACACATATTAAATAACCCCTCTCTTCCCAAAAAATAAATCGTAGTTACACCATTAATTGAAATTAACATAAGGATAGTTTAATTTAAAAAACTGTACAACAGTTGTATAAGAAATTGACATTTTATTACATAGGCAGGTAACAAAAAATATAAATATTTCATTATTGGAGGGGGAGCTCAGCCTCTCAACCAACCTCCACTAACGAAAAATAATATTTTTCATTGACTACTTAACACCCGTATTAACCAATATTAACCCGATTAATAACGGTTATTAACACCCAAATGTTTGTTTAAATGTTGTATAGCGATGTTTGAACACTCGAAACCCGAAAAAATGATTCTGGTGCAAAGCCTTGATAAAAGATAACAATTTAAATTAAATTCTAGGGGGAGCAAAGAGTCCTTACCTTTTATTGTTATTGTGATTAACAAATTAACAATTAACCTATTAACTTATTAACAAAATTGGCATAAAACCACTAATATTTTTATGACTACATCACTGGAATAGAGTAAAGATAATAATTTAAAATAAATATCAAAATATATTTAATACAAATACAATAAATATTAAAAATAAGCATAATTTCATCTAGAAATTTTTTCTTCCTTCACTTATCCCTGAAGCTTTTTATAAAAAAAACTTCTAAGCTTGATGCACTATAGCACCAATCTCTTTCTAAGCACAATACGATTTCGTTCTTCTTCGTCATCACTTCCATAAGCTGAAGACACACCTGATACAGCACCACGCCAAGAAGTAGCTTGCATAAGTTCTTGATCTGGTTCAGTGCGATTTTCGTAGAGCATAAGATTAAGACACTCTTCATATATTCGGGCTTCGGGGAAGTCAACCTTAAACAAATATAAAAATATACAAGGCTGAGTGAGTTAATGATATTTTTTAACTCATTAATTTAATTGAGTTCATGTTTAATTAAATTAATGCACATGAGAATTACATCAAGTAAGTTAAAAAATATAGTTAACAAAACTTAACTTCAATTAATAAGTTAATCAAAAAAATATATATATATTTAAATTAAGTACTGATATATTAACAATTTACAAGTCTTTTTTAACATTAACGATAATGAAAATGCAGAAAAATCTTATTAGATTGTAATAAGAGTAGAAAAATATACATTTCATTATTGGAATTGTTTTTAAGCATTCAAATGTCAAATTTATGGTAATTTATGTATCGTTTTTTTTAATTCATTTTTCATATAAATCACATATGATAAATATAATTTAAAAAAATTATTCTTTTTAATGTTCAATAACAGTATGAAAACTAAAAATAGTTACTGCAGCTGAAAGTGTAACTATAAAATTATACAGACAATAAATATATACAGTAGACACAAAACATTAAATTAAATATACATTATTTAAATTTATTAAAATCTAAACAAATAAAACAATACAATGGACAAAATACCTATTAAATATCAATAAAATAGTCATATCAAAATATTCATCAGCTTTTAAATTTATTTTCTTATTCAATAATACTTAATAATATTATAGATTATGGAATAATTTTAATAATAATTGTATTCTATAAACAATAATATGTACCCATTTTTGTAATATAGATTTACGGCCACTTTTCATAACAATGGTAATGTAATTCATAGCTATTTTTACTCAATAGTCAATAGTACTTTTCCTGAGACCAGTAAGACCTCTATTATAGTTAACAAATTTTTAATACTTAACCTAACCTATGGCCTATGGAGTCCAAATATGGGGATGAGCCAAGCCTTCCTAAATAAGAACAATCCAGGCCTTCCAATCAATCTCTCTACGACAAATAACATTTGCACCATGGTATGTTTCTAATGTCTCATTACACAATGACCTAAAAATTGTAATAGTTCCTATTATAGCTAAAAATTATTATAAAAAATTTCACAACAAATCTATCGACCATTTAAACCCACTAATATCCAATTTAGCCAGTGAATCCATATCCCAGACAATCTCTCACATCGACTAAAAAGAAATGGTGTCATGATCTTTTGAACTCCAACTTGTATTAACAAAACCCCCTTTCATGTTTGATGGTATCCACACTGGTGGATTTTCCTCCTCACGTAATGTCATGTTGCTTTTTTTTTTTCTTATGCATTGTTGTTACTTGTTACCAAATTTATTTATTGTATACATAAATACAGATTGTAAATACACTTTTACTAATAAAAAAAAAAAAAGTATAAAATCTTTCTTAATTGAATTTAGCTTTAAAAAAATATTTTTATACTCAGAAATTTATATGAAGGTAAATTTAAGATCTTAGTTCTATAACCAGAAACAAGCATTATTATATTTGGTCAAATATTTTCATCCGTTTTAACATATATATCTATTCAAGATGATCTTCTTATATATTGAGGAACTGAGGCTGAAATTTAATGAAATTAAAACGATCAAATGGCAATAAGAATCTAGTGATTCTAGTGATTTTATTTAGGGATCTTATTTTATCACATAATTTATGTTAAAATGATACACCTGCCAATAGGCTTTTAAGATTTGAAATATTTTAGGATTAATAATATTAATTTATTTAATAAAAGTTACCTACTAAAAGTACATTATAATATTGCATTCTAGCCCTTCTGACAAAGTTATTACAAGCATAAATGAATATATTAAATTTAAATATGTTAGATATAACTACATTATTAAGAACCTTTCAAAGATAAATTAAAATTTTTTTTTTAAAAATTAATTTTTTAATTTATTACCTTAGTATGTTTTTTATCTGTAGCATATACAATAGATGTACAACAAACTTCAGCAACTTTAGTTGCCAGACCAAAATAACTCCAACAACATATTTCACTTGAACCACTTACATCTTTGATAAATAAAAATCTTGAACCAAAACGCAATGAAAGTTTATCAAATAATTCAATATTTTTGAGTAAATTGTCATCAGATGCACTAGAATTAAATTATAATAAGTACAAAAAACCATAATAAAGTCTCTTATTTTATTACCTTGTGTATGAATACTTATTATTGTGTCTATTTATCAATAGTTTTACAACAGGCTACAATATATAATAAATTAGTTAAAAGATTATGATTTTGGTTTAAAAATTAGTTACTTTGGAACTTGATGTAATTAATTGACTTAGGTCCGCGCTTGTAGATACAAGAGGTATACAACATTGCGGTTCAATTTTGCACTGTCTTAACCTTAGAGCTTGTTGGCAAGCTTCAATAAGAGGAGATATTAAGTAGAATTTGGCTTCAGCTAATAGCTCAGCAATTTCATGTGTTTTATTTGGAAGCGCAACATGTTCATCTCGTAAAAAGTTTAATACAGAATTGAAATGTTTGCCACAACGATCAATTAATACCCAACCTGAACATTTTTCAAATAAGTGAAAATAGTTATATTTAATACAATTCTTCATTAAAAGTAAATTTTCTTTAGTTCTTTTGTGTTTTACAACTAGTCTAAATATAACAAGAACACACCTCAAACCTTCAAATTAACAACAATAAATTGTTCTAGTTTAAATACCTTCAGTATCAGTGAGTACCTTCATCCGGCCACTAAACATAGCTTTAAGCATTGTATCATGTTTAGTTAATGTTCCTATTGTAGTGTAAAATAATGAACCACCAATATTTAATTTTGCATACTTGGGTTGACTGTCTTGTGACTGCATTCTCAAAATACACGAATGATTAAATACACAATTGTACTCATAAGAATTTAAATAAAAAATAAAAGTTCACGTTTTACACCAGTTTATTAAGTAAATCAGCTATAAAAAAGTTAATATTAAATCTTACAACAATAAACGCCATTATTACAATTAATTTTGGTAAAATTACATGAATTAAATTACAATAGTAAGGTAAATAACTATTGAAATACTATACATTTAGAACAAAAATATAGAGAATCCAAGGGTGATACGAAATCCACAGTATTGATAATTGAATAGATAAAAGTATGCCTTTTATTACCTTATATATTTTCTTATAATCTGTGATAATACCAATTTTGTTATTAATTATAAATATAGATAATAGAAGAATATGCTTTCTATTATCTATGATTATAAAAGACCACGGATAAATTATTTTATTCATGGAAATGACAAACTATGATTATTTAAGTTATTTTAAATATATAATTTTCCAAAGGTAGATCAAAACAAAATAACAGACAAGATAATAAAATATGTTCTTAACTAACCTTAACATAATCTAAGCGCTCTTTAAAATAGTGACCAAAAATTGAACTAAAACTAGCCGAATCACAAAAAGATATGAAATTTGATATAAGAGTTATTTTGACTTAATCTAATGTTTTAATAACACCTTCTGAATTCGTGTACATTATTTTTACTTTATGGATAGTATTGGAATCCAAAATCATGGCCTATAGTAAAGTACTATACAAAAGTCATGTACTCCCGACGTTACTTAAACACCCCTCAGTTGTGAGTTATTTTTTTAAATGTAATATTTGATAGAGTTCTTCATCCGTTATTTTACACAAGCTTTGTTTGTATAGATTAGACAAGTTTGTCAGTTTCATCATATTTCAATTAACAAGAGACTAGTTTCTCTCACACCTAATAAATTATCAACTTCAAGTCTGAAAAATTTGACAGCATTCAATTTTACATTTTTACGACATAATAGTGGTGAGAGTAATGAACAAATTTCTTCAGTTACCTCTGGTAATGACGATTCTTTAGATTTGACTGAAGATGTTATACCTGAACGGCCCGAAGTACCTATTGAAGCATCTGTTGAACATGTAGAAAAAGTTTTGGTATATATATTACTTAAATGGTGAAATATATAAGAAAAAAAATTGATCTTAAAATATTTGTATTTTTAATAAATGGCTAGAATACATTAGGAGAAGAAACATTACAAAGTGCTGGACTTGGTGCATACACTCCAGTTGGCTTGTTACAAAATGGTTTAGAGTTTATGCATGTTTCTTGTGGTTTGCCATGGTGGGGTGCAATTATTGCAGGTTAGTATATAATTTTATACATTTTTATATAAAGTGCTAGTTTTTACATTATTTCTATGTTAAACTATTTAACTTTTACATTAAATGATTAAATGAGATAAGATATTTTTTTCTCCAAAAACTTAAAAAGTACATTTAAATATTAAATAAACCAAATTTTAAAGAATAGAATAAATATATAGTTTAAATTCAATGCAAAAAAATAATAATTTTAATTACTTAGATTTAAAAGAATGTATATCCTTTTGATAATAATAAAAATAATGTATCTTTTATATACAAATATATTCTTCTTCCTCTCCACCTTTCTCCCAACTATATGGGGTTGGCCTCCCTTGTCATAAACCATTTTAAACATATCAGTAATATAATAATTTTAGTTTGTTTATTCAATAAAGTATTAAAGTATAATGAAAAAAAAATATTAATATCGCTAACAATTAAATTGTAATTTAACAATAATAATAACAATCAACCGCACGACAATCACACACACATTGTATATAAATAATCTGATGTGGATAAATTATCAGTCGATAAGAATATCAATATCTTAGTCTGTTACTGTCACATTTTGTCAGTTGTCAGTATACACTATGCATCTATACGCAACAAAAAGTAATATAAAATAAAATTAATACGATCATACGTTTAATTTAGTTATTAATTATTATTATTATTATTATTTAGTATTTAAACAATAAGTTTTAAGAACATTTTATACTAATTTATAAAATTATTTCACTATTAGGTATGATACCCCAAAAAAAAAAAAAAAATAAGTTTCTAAATACGCCACTGCTTTTATTGTTTATTCTATAATATTCAAACAGTCCAATGCGTTTCTAATATATATTTATCAATTTACCATGTATCATTAATATTAAAAATGTTCTATTCAGGTACTGCAATTCTACGTTTGTTAGTTTTTCCTTTGGTAGTTGTATCTCAACGACATGCAGTAAAAATGAATAATAATATGCCTCAGGTACAAGCATATCAACAAAAAATTACTGAAGCTCGATTATATGGGAACCCATATGAAAGTAAATTATTTATTTATTATTTATATTTAACTGACTCTTGCTCTAGAATACTATGATTATAATTTAAAAATTGATATATAGTATATACAGGATAAATATCTAACCTGTGTATCATTAGCTTTTTACTACATTATGAGCCTAATTTATCTTAAATCCCACTAATTTAGACAAGCAATCACAACGCAATTTTATGGTAAATTAGTTACCAGTCATACAAATTAAAATTATATGTTATATTATACACATTTTTGGTGTCCTTTATTAGAGTTTCATAACAATGATATAATAATTATTTTTTTTCTTTTATTGTTATCATTACCAAAATTATTTTATCTTATACATCGCTGTATTATTTTGTAACTAATTCAGCATTTAATAAATTCTCGGCCGGGGTAAATTTGAGTGGTCTTTAAGTAGACCAAGACTTAAAATGGTTCATAATTGTTAAACAATTAATTTTTATAGTAACATCTACACTACTGGTATCGGATGGTCAATGTTTAAATCAACTATAAAAATAAATGCCTTAGATGATGCTTAAATAAACCAAAAAATAATCCTGAATCTATAATTCCCATATGAAATACATACAAACCATGTCCCAAATTTGAGATATGTGAATGTGTTAAATATAATGTTCATTAGACATATAATTTCCTAAAATTTGAAATTTCTAAAAAAAATGTATTTTAGTGGCAAGAGCTTCACAAGAACTTATGTTATTTATGAAAACTCATCAAGTAAATCCATTGAAAGGAATGATATTACCGGCAGTTCAAGTAATTTAAATTTATTTTCTATAGACTTCAAGATTAATTTATATAAAAATTTATTTTAATTTTTAGTTTCCTATATTTTTAAGTATGTTTTTGGGTTTAAGAGGAATGGCAATGTTACCTTTGGAAAGTTTTAAATATGGTGGTCTTTGGTGGTTTACTGATATTACAATGCCTGATCAGTATTTTGTATTGCCTATTGTCACTGTTATCACTCTTGGCATAACATTAGAGGTAATAATGTATTATTGAGTATATAGAGAAGAACAATTTATTTATTTATTTTATACTTTAGCTTGGTGCAGACATTGGTAAATTAACTTCATCAAATGCTGGATTTGGAAAGTATCTGAAATACGGTGTTCGTGTAATACCTCTAATTGTTTTTCCATTTATTGTGAATTTTCCATGTGTAAGTAATAATTAAAATTAAAACAATTTAGTTGGAAGCTTGATTTATAAAAAGACATTTTTTAAAATTTAGGAAATTGTATATATTTTCTATACCCATAAAATAGAATATGTTTTATTTTAATAACTGTTAGATAAGTAGAATGCTTGTTTGCCTGTAGAAGGTTTTACATTTTTCCAAATTATATTTTTGCATAAGTAGTCTATATATTATATCAACTATTCAAAAAAAAATTAATATTTCAATAAATAAACTGTCATATTATAGGTTAAAACATTATAAAGTACTGTTTTTCTAAAAATTTTTTCTTCTTTGAGTGCCATATTCATTAACGAACGTTGGTAATCATGTTAATTATGTTTTTAAATTATCTAACGTTTAACACTGTAATTGATTAAGCTCGGTTTTTTCTTCAAAATTTATTTTCTTAAATTATCCATTCACTATAATAACAAATATTGTAAATTTTAATTTTTGTTATAGGCAGTATGTTTATATTGGGCATCTACAAATTTTATTTCACTAGCACAAGTTATGTTTTTAAAAATACCTAGCGTAAGAAATTATTTTAATATAGAAGAAAAAAAGAAAATTGAACCTTCCAAATCAAAAAAGAAAGGAGTGGTTACAGAATTTAAGGAATGTAAGAAATAGTAATCGATTCATTTAAACTTTAAATATTTATTGTTCAATAACTATATATTCTTTTTCATAGCCTGGAGAAATATGCAAGTTGTGAAAGAAATTGAAGAAAGGGAGCGCTTAGATCACATGAAGTTCACTCAAGCCGGGCGTGCTGCACCAGTTAAGACATTTAAATATAATCCAAAAGTTGTGGGTAACTTAAAAAATGATAATTGATCCAAATTATAGTAATATAGTCAACGTTTGTTTTAATATAATGTATAAAATGTATTAATGGTCAAATATATATTGTATTTTACTATTAAAATTAATGTTATAGTGAAAATAGTGAATACTTGTAATATCTTATAATTTGTTTTCATTAAGAAGACCAATCATGCAAAAAATGATTTCTAAAGAATATATAAATTCATATTTATTAGATTTTTATGTGAAAATGTTCAAATTTTCTACCTATAAATATTTGTCAGAAGTATAACAGCAATTTATAATATTTTTCATTTATAGTAAAAAAAAAAAAAAAAATTAAATTAATAAATTATGGGTAACATATTAGTTGCTCATAAAATAAAATATTATTAATAATTAAATTTAAGTATTTCAAATGCTAGTGGAGTATATAAATGAATATAAAATAAAAACAATGGTTTTTTTTTTTTTTTTTTTATTGTAAATAGATATTGTAAATGTAAGCACAACTTCATCAATCATCAACAAATAACTTAATGGTTACATTTCTTTTAGTATGAAATTAATATTCTATTAACTTTGTTAGATTTATTCAGTTATGTGATTATTAAAACCTACATTAGTTCCATATTTAAAAGCTTGGATATATCCAAAAAAGGAAGTATAAGTTTACCAATTTATTATATCTTAAACTAATTTAACAATTTTGTTATGTTTAAAAAAAAATGATTTTATTATGTTATGAGTTGTATTACTGTACTTAAATAATTTCAAATATTTTTTAGGTTAAATATGTGTAATCCTTAGGATCTTTAAATTACACTATTGGATGTTAATTTTCCCCAAAATATTTCTTATTACAAATGTCAAAAAAAAATAAAATAATACAATTTTTTAAATTATTATGCTTATTTTTGATAGATAAAAGTATACTATAAGAATCTAAAATGAGAACATTGATGTTGACTAGCCAACCAGTTGTGCAGCATTTGGGATTTTTCAACTTGAACCAATATTTATTGATTTTAATACTTAAAAAAGATTATGAATTAAATAATACTTAAATAATAATAATAAATAAACAAAAAAAAAATAAATAAATAAATATTTGCAATTAACTAAGAATTATTTACATCTTGTGTTTTTTAATTCAAAATTTATGTTACTGATATAAAACTATGCAGTGGCTATACATTTATTTAACACTGTTGACAAATGAGTATTTTCCAAAGCAGCAGCTACTCTTTCTTTGTCATCTAATTGTTTGTTGATGGCATGTTCAGATGCATGAGTACCTGGGGTGATGGTAACAGATATTTTAAAGCGAGGAGGAAGACACCATAAAAGTCGAACTTTAATAGACAATCCGATTAATGTAGCCATACTGCAATGAGGAATTGTTGGTGTGAATAGAACTTTCACAATATTAGCGTTATCATCAACCTAAAATAAAAAATAAATAATAAAATTAACCTTACAATTTTAATTGTAATACTTAAAAATGCATTAATATGAAATTATTAAGCCCTTACACCATTAATATAAATATAAAAATAGAATACATTTACTATTAAGATTTAAAAGTGACAGAATGAGTTTTCTCTTAAACTTCAAATCCGTGAATTAGTAACTTTTCATAATCAATATTGTATAATAAAAAATGTCCATATTAAAAGTTTCATCTATAAATCATAGTTTTTAATCACTGAAAATATCAATAGGTAATAAAAACTTTCCAGTGGTAGCTTTGCCTAGAAATACTAGGTCAGAACCAGATAATAATTTTTTAAATCAATTTAAACAAGTAAATTAACTTGGTTTTACTCTTATAAAAAAAGGAAATTATTAGGAAATCCCTATTAATATTTAATATTAAGTATATTATAAGGTAATTGCATGAATTAATTCATGGTTAATAGTTGCAATTAATGTACTACAGAACTTCTTTGTCGATTGTGGTAGAAGCTATCAATGATTTCTTCTAGGTCAATATCTTTTTTTTGGACAATTATCCTTAAATTGCAATCTACTTAGTCAAAAGATTATGTAAGATATGTTTTTTTTTTACTGTTATCTATTCTACAAATAGTAATTCTATTACAGTATCTCATGTTTCTTTCTGTTTTAAGAATCTATATTGATAATTCCATTGGTATTTTTCAACTTTTTAATAAATATTACTTACATAATTAAATTATGAATGTATATTCATATACATTAGATAGTTTAAATTCATTTAAGTTTTAAGAAATATATTTACCTCTATTAAATTTTGATCAACTACTCTTAATTCTTCTAGTGACAATGGATGTTCTGGATCAGTAATTCCTCTAATCAAGTCTGATATATTAAATCAAACAAATTGATAACTTTACAAGTTAAATTTATTTCAATACAATTATTTATAAAGTTTTACCAAAAATCTCTCGTGAATCAAACTCTTCAGCTTCATTATCATCCAAATCTTTTTCACTTATTATTCTTTCTTCACTTTTTTCAAATAAAGTTGGATTTTCGTTGTCTAGACCCATGTTAGTTTTGTGTAATATTAGTAAATAAATTAAAATAATACTTGAGAGTAATATAAGCAAATATTTATTAATGCTGCGTTTTATATACGTTTTTATAACACATTATAATGAAATTATTCTTTATTATTATTATTTTAACCGTGATTAATATCATAATTGTCTGTGTTAAGTGTTGCATGTCAGGGTTGTCAGATAATGTTTGAGTCGTATAGCCAGTAGAGCGCGTTCAGGTCACCCAAAATACGAAAGGAACTTCACAGAAAAAAAATTTTTTGTACCCGTATATATATATTGCCTACATTTAGCCCTTTTTTACAGCTATCAAAATATGATAACATTGATAAGACAATAACAATTTTTATTTTAATAATTTTATATATTGTTAAATTTAAATTTAAATCATTAAATACATTAATTGTTAAATAAATTTAATAGTACACAATTCGATAAAAAACACTATATTCACTTAGATCGTCATTTAAAAGGTACAATTCAAAAGTAATAAGAAATATAACATTTTTATTACTCTCATATTTCTCCATACCTCTAAGTTAAAAGTACCATATTTTAATCTTTATTAAACGAGAACAATGAATTAATTGTAAGATAAAGTAATACTCAATTATGGTACCAATTGGTAAATTAAGGTTTACTACAGCTGATAGAGTAAAATTGGCTAGTAGCTTATTTTATTTTATATAATACTATACTATCATCTATACTGGTTCCTATTCAAAGGGTTTAAATAATGTTCAAGATTCTGTGGAAGGAACAACATTGAAATGTTTATAGTTTAAGTGTTATGGGCCAAATAGTAAAATGTATTAATAATCCAATTTTGTATTTTAAATACTGTAATAAAGATGTTTTTGCCACAAATTTAGAAAAAGATGATTTTTGTATTTAGAAATGATTAAATCTGTGTTGATGGGACCCATGGTTTAAACTTTAAATAGTTAGATACGCTTATATAACAAAAATACAAAATATTAAACCTAGTTATAACATTAGTATTATATTTTCGCTTATAGTATTCGCAATGAATTGTGTATTTTTAAATTTTAAATTAGGTTATTGTGTTTTTTTTTCGAATTGTATATTAAATGTATTTAACTATTTAAATTTAAATTTAACAATATATAAAATTATTACAACAAAAATGATGTTATTGTTTTATCAATGTTATCACATTTTGATAGCTGCAAAAAAGGGGCTAAATGTAGGCAATAATATATACGGACACAAAAAAATTTTTCCTGCAAAGATCTATTCGTGCAATAGTAACAGAAAATATAACCATAACATATAAACTACCCATTGAATGTTCATTCTACACAGCCGAAGCACTGGCAATATACAATGTGGAGTTAAAATTATTACAAATTAAAGAATTAATACCCCACAAATACCTCGTAATTAGTGACTCACTCAGCAACATCACAGGAATCCAAAATACAATACACCCAAAACTAAGCCAAGAAAAAACTTTTTCTCAATATATAATATACACATACGAAGACAAAAAAAAAAACAAACCAAACAAGTTCTAAATCATAAGTGGCTCTAACTATGGTCAAACCTAGATATACAGTCAAATCAAATAAAAAACAACACAGGCATGGCAAAACCCAAGACTAAAGAGGAAAGAGGAAACTATTATTAAATCGACTACGAATAGGGCACATATCCATCACACACACATTATGAAAAAAAAGGATCCGCCCACATACGTAACGTACGAAGACACGATATTACAACAAATCGGAGAAGTGTTAGGACCAGACTCACAATCAATCATCAACATCATAAAAGAAACACAACTGTCTAACTTAATTTAAGCCATACTATAAAATAATGTAAATATACCAATATCATCTAATATTGAGTTAATGATAATCTAATCTTAAGCTAATATTGAACTAATGGTCAAAATAGCCGATGTTTATAAAAATATGAATAAAAAAAAAAAAAAAATGTTACTCCTATCTTCTTAATCAATACATTTATTATTGTATTGAAGATAAGATAATATACTTCATAATCATTATTTTGATAAATTCTTGCTTTTCCATACCATCCACCATATAGGATTAATCAAATATCTAATATACTGAATGGCTTTAATGGTTCAATGCTATTAAAATTTAAATGATATACTAACTGGATATAGCTGATGCATACCATTCATATTTGAATATTTATATATTTGATATAAATTAATATAACCCCCACGGGTCTGTGTTAAATAATTGAGCACATGGAACGCAGTTTTTAAATCATTGAACTGAACTCCTTTATATAGTTTTCCTTAATTTGAACACTAGATAATGTAATGTATTTTATTAATGTGTCTGTATTGCATTATTTATTGGGTTATCTTAAGATTTGTTTTGTTACCTACAACCAAATTTTGTGAAAAATAAAACACTAAACTTAGTGAAGTAATACCATTTAAATTGTCTAAAAAGCATTCTAACTGTAAAAGTTTAATTATTCAAAGAAAAAAAAATGTTTAGCTAACTTTTACTTTTTTCAAAGTTTGTATAAAATAAAATATCTATGACTTTTTTTTTTCATTCAGTTTTTGTCACCTAAATATATAAAAAGGAGGAAACCTAAAAAAAAGAGGATATGATAAGGTTAAATTATTTGGAAAGAAAAAATGTCTTTAAGTTTATTAAGTAATACTACTAATAGAAATAATAAGTATATAAGTAACATTATTATTATTAAATATTAAAATATTTAATAAATAATTAAATTCTAATATGAATAAGAAAATACAAGTACATTGTAAGTTGGTAAAATTATATTAAGAATTTTAAAATTACTAATTTTTATACACTGTCGGTATTCTTTGTATTTTAATTTTTTTTATAATTACAGAATTAAACATTTAGAATGACATCCAATATTTTGGTTTATAATAAAGTATAAAACTATACAAAATATTTTAAAACATTCTTAGAAAATTATAAGTATAGAGAACCATCTGCTGGACCCAGGTATCTTATAGATATCAATAATACATCAATTAGTGTCCAAACTCCTAGACCTCCAAAACTGAATAATTTGCCTATGCCTTCTTGCCAGTGTCCCAAATAAAATCTAAAAAAAATAAACAAATAAATTACTTAGATATTATAAATTGAATATTATGTTAATATTTATGGTATCATACCTATCTACACCAAATCCTCCAAGAGTAACACTTAAAATTAAAGCAGTTGACCACCGATGACCTCCTGTCCAATTACAACGCAATTTTTTCAAAAATTGCCTTCTTCCCAAGCATAAAACATCTCTGTTTACTGTGCAATTAGTCCTAAAATATTTTTCTTTTAAATAAAATAAACTTGATTATCTTAAAATTATTATTCATAATTAAATGGTTTCCATAAAAATTTTATAAATTTTAAAACAAAATTTAAACAATTTCATTCATGAGAATGAGAAACTAAAAATATTTGGAGTTGGTATAAAATATAATAAAATACAAAAATTATAAAACATATATTGAAAAAACATAATTATTATCATAATATGTATAAGATGAAAATGTAATTATCTAATCAGTTTGCGTTTTAAGTTCCTACAGTTAATAGTTGTAAACGACAAAATGATATAACTTAACATTAAATTAAAATTTGTACAAGTATTAGGATAATTTTTATACAAGAACAATATACAAGAAACTTGATATTGAATATTCAAGATTTTTTGTCAAATAAAAATTTTGTTGCAAACGATTTATTATTATATTTTGTAATTTTTTTCTTGATGATTTAGAAAACTGTTAATATTTTTAAAAAAATGATATCCAAAAAAAACCATATAGACAACATTTGCAATTGGTATACATAAAAAGTAGATGATTGGAGCAATCCTTCTGATCAAAAAATTGTTTAAACAGAGAAATAAAAAATAAGTATACAGTGGAACCTTGCTATCTCGAAGTATTTGTATGTAGAATTTTTTTTAGTCCCAATCATTCAGTATTAGACTTAAGTGTTCAGTTATTTCGGTATATCGAATTTCCATATGTTAAATTTTTCTATATGTCAATATCATTTTTCAGTACCCACTATCTATTATGATTCACTAACTTGAATATATGACAGATTAGATAAAGTATAAAATGCCCAAACTATAAAATATAAGATAAATGACAGAGCTTGTACATATTACGTTGATATTTAATTATAATGCAGTTAATCACCAAAAACGGCAATAAAGTTATACGGACTTATTCATGAACTTCAAAGATATGTCCAACAACAGTCAGGAGTTTCTAATAACATTTTTTCTGCACTTAATAATTTAGGTAGTTTTATTGAAAATACTTCTAATACTAAATAAAAACAAACAAAAATGACAGATTTTCTACTTTCATAAAAAATAATGTATACTTACCCAAATTACGAATACTAATAATATGTATACAATATATAAATACATTCTATATTATGAATATAAATTTTCCCCGTTTGACTTAAACTGATTACAGGATAATTTTATAATATTTACTTGTAATACGAAGGTGGTGAGGCATCTGAAATGCATGTTTTTTTCATACATTTGTACTCCCAGAACTCTGTTTGATAACAGTATCGACAAGTCAAGTTTTTACCAAATGATGTTTCTCCCTAAAAATATAAATATTAATTTAATAGAGAGCAACTCAGTATAATACCCTATATACAAGATACCTGACAATGTACATTCGCATTACAGGTAGCTATTGTTTGATTTCCATAAATGCAAGAGTCATTCATTTTTTGACAACTGATGCATGGATATGGAAGGCTTGAACAAGGTTTGTGCTGTAAATGTGTACATTCAAGTTCCATGTTGATATGGTCTTCTTCAAGAGGTATCTGCAAACAAATAGTAACTAGATATTGTAAAAATAAGGTTCAGGTTATTTTGAATATAAATATTAGGTATTTATACTGCCAACATACTTAAATTTAACAATCAAAAGAAAAAACATAAAAGTTTAGAGTTGTTTCATAGACTCATACTTACTGATGGATTAGGTTTTTTCTTCTTTTTGTAAATTGATGAGTCTGTATGATCATCATCTGAAAATAACAGTGTAGAATAAAGGTAATATGCTACAAACGAATATAAATTATAATTCATTTTACCATTTTGAGATGCTAGACCAATTACTATAAAATAACAAAAAAATATAATTCCGCAGTAAGATTGTAGCTTCATAACTCATTGCATTATAAAAAATAGAGAATAAAAGTATCTACTTGAATCACAAATTACATGAAGTTTAAGATAATCTGTGTTTGAACTTTAAACAATACATATTGAATTCTAATATTAATTTAAGAGGTTAATTTTTAACCAGATTCTTCAAGAGTTAAGATTGATATACCTGTATTTTGATGAAATTCAAATATGAACACTTAGACACAACCATAGAGTATTACTCTATGGACACAACAAAGAAACCAGAGATTACCTGAATATTTTTCATGTTATCTGGGATCATGATAAGAGTTTAACCCGTTTAAACTCAAAGTATATAGATATTATTTATAAACCTTCTGACTTTATCATCGGGTACTTTAATTAGAAATAATAATTTTAAAATTGAATATGTACAATAGTGTTTACGGGTTTCGTTGTTACACTGGTCTTGTATTTACATAATATTTTAATTATTATTATATGAAATTTGATTAGGAATACATGGAACTAAAATAAACGTTTATTTCTATTCATGGTATAATTACAAAATTTATATAATCTATGATAAATCATCCACTGTTTAATTTATATATATCTATTTAAATTAGATTTTATAAATCATATCAATATGACTTTCTTACATGCTCGTAGTATATTACAGGTAAAATATTATCTTCCTACTTACAAACAGTTCAGTTAATTAAAATGTTATAATATTTATTCAATTTGATTCTCTGATATTTTTATATACTCCAAGAATATTTATTTAATTTAAATACAATAATATAAAATATAAATACCTTATATCTAGCAAGTTTTAAGTTGAATGTTTAACATTTATTTATTTCCAGAACACTAGCAAAATATCTTACTTTGGTAACAGCTTAATGACCAACAGTATTCGTGGACTGACTATACCAATTGTAGTTGAACAAACTGGCCGTGGAGAACGTTCTTATGATATATTTTCTAGACTTCTTAAAGAACGAATTGTTTGTGTTATGGGTGAGGTTGGTACAATAAACTAAACATTCAATTTTGTATAAAAATTATTTTATGTTAAATTAATGTTCATTATTAGATAAATGATCATGTTGCTTCACTGGTAATTGCTCAGTTATTATTTTTACAATTTGAAAATCAAAAAGCAACTATCAACATGTATATTAATAGGTAAAATGTTGTTGAAGAACTTACAAACCTATATAAATTACAAATATTCATAATTATTTTTAGCCCCGGTGGTAGTGTTACCGCAGGTCTAGGTATATATGATACAATGATGTATATTAAGCCAGACGTATCAACTTGGTGTATAGGACAAGCATGTAGCATGGGAAGTGTTCTATTAGCTGCTGGATCAAAAGGTAAAAGGCACGCTTTACCACATTCAAGGATTATGATTCATCAACCATCTGGTGGAATGCAGGTATTAATTGAAATGTATATTCAATACTTTTTGTGGATTAAAAGTTTATTGTTTAATTATGTACGCTGTATATAATAATATTGTCTAATAAATAATTTTTAATATTATTTTATTACCATTAGATCCTTAGTACTATTAGTCAGGAGTGGTAAATTATTTTAATACTACGTACCAAAAATTACAATATTCTTTTTTTTTTTGAACATGCCATTAATAATATTTTAATATAATATTGTAATATTATATTATATATTATAAAAGTATAAATATAAAAAAGGTAATATTTAATAAATATATAATTACATTACTTAAGTAATTATCATCATCTTAATGCGGTTTCTTAATTTGATTCTAATTCATTGATATTTGATTTAAAATTAGTAAATTTTAATAAAATACATGTGACAGTTTTTTAAATCCCATTTTATAAAATGTATTTGTGAAAATAGTAACTTCTATGAACAAGTTGAAGAAAAATAGATAAAATTGTTAATGCCAATATATTGCGTTTATATTACTTTTAGTATATTATCTACATTCTAAACATATCTACAATTTCATTTTCTGAAAGACATCAATAATGAAAATTACCAACATTGTGATGTAATTAATAATTTAAATAATATAATATAATATAAATATATTTATTTTTTGCATACCATCCTTGCACATGTTGATGTATCTGTACGGTATTCTAATTGAGAAATGTATGTGTTGACTAAGCTATACAGCTGTATTATAACTGTTATACCAGATCCCCTTGCCTCATAGTCAAGATCTGTGATTAGATATCAACATTTAGGAATATGAACTTTTAAAATTCACTTTAATCAATTGTATTTTTATTCAGAATAGAGTATAAAAATAGTTTAAGTGTACATTTTAATAATTATGTATATAAATAAAAAATTGAAAATTTCAGGGAAAAGCTTCTGATATGAAAATCGTTACTGATGAAATTTTAAGACTCAAATCTTCATTGATTGATATTTATGTTAAACATACTGGAATGCCTGCTGAAAAAATTGGTAAGCAAATATAATTATTATAAAAATAATGCATTGATGAAAATTTTAATTAACCATTAATTTAATAACTAAATTCTTAAATTAGCAGTAAAAATGATCAAAATATGCAATCAATGTAAATCAATAAAATTTATAAATTTTAATTGATAAACTTAAAATATGCAATATAGCTATATAAATACATGAATATTTTGAGAAAATTCAGATTAAGTTTTAAATGTAAATTATACAAAAATATTATTAAAATTCCTAAATTTCGAGTCCTCATATCTGTAGGACTGTTAATGTATTTATTTTTTTTAAGATAATAAATTTCATATACATAAAAATGTATCTTACACCATAGGCGCAACTAGAGTTCGATTTCTGGGTGGGCTGAATTTTAATGATACCAGCGACCCGTGGGGGCTTCGTCCCCACACCCCCAATATTGATTATCAACATAAACATTTATATTTATATAAATTAGAAGTTCTCATGACCTTACCCATAGTCGTTAATAGTTCATTTCGAAGTAAAATGTTGTCACTTACCTAGTCACTTATTACTTACAGACTAGCTACCTAAATAAACACGAATAATAAGGATATACATATATAATCAATGAAATATACAGTTCATAGCTATTAAATTTTTATTATAAAGCCTAATTAAATTAACAATATTTTTCTATTTTTTTTCAACAAATTTATTTACAGTTTCATTTTCATCTAATTTGTTGGTTAAATCTCTCTTTATATTTAAAATAGATAAATTTTTTAATCGATCATGGGTCATGGAAGATCTAAGCCAATGTTTTATTCGTCTCATTGAAGAGAACAACCTTTCACAGGTGTCTGAATTTATAAGAATAGATAAAGCCACTTGTATAAGTTTAGAAAAGTTCGGAAATATTTGTTTTTCGACTTCTTTAACATCATTTATATTGAAATCTTTTTTTTTTTACTATTTAAAGGTTAAACGCCACTCTAATTTTTGCTTCTAAGCTACTCTTTGAAATATGAAGTAATTTCTATAATTATAATTATTATAATTAATTAATTAGTTATCATTAATCTCTTATACAATTAAAATGTATTTATATACATGGTATTACTAAATTACCTTATAATGATCAATAAATTTCATTGAATCGGTTGTAATTTACAAAATGAACTACAACCGAACTGGCCATACCCAAGCTTTAACCAAAAAACCTATATTTAAGATTGAAAATAACACTGTCCATAGTAAAAAAATATATAAAAGTTTTCCAATAACTTTTTACATAATTTGCTAATGACGAATGTGAATCATTTTCTGCTGCCGTGGTAGCTGTTAATACACAATCATGAAGACTAGTTGACTCTCTTCTGCGATGCTTTGATCCTATATTTTGTATGTATTATCTAGGTTAAAAAACATAAAATAAATTATCAAAATCATAAAATATATACACCAGTTAATGGAGTTAGTAACCAAATGTCATTTTCTTCAGCATAATATTTTTATTTATTCCCATATTTTCTTAAATTCGTCTTCAGATCTTAGAGTTTCAAATGTCTTAATTACACCAAAAATTACATTTTTAGGCAAACCAAGAGTTGATGTTTTATTTTGTAGTGAAACTGAATAGGCTACAGACAAAACTGGGTGGGCTAAGCCCCCCCTTAGTTGCGCCTATGTCTTACACATAGATACAAATAGCAATTGAGATTTGGAAAGCTTGAGCCTCGCTGATTTTTATTGCACTCATTGATTCTATTTTTACAGCCAACGAATAAAAATAAATATTCCTTCTTTCACTTATATTTTTTTTAATAGGAATTTGAATAGATGATTTGTCATCATTATATTTATGTAATCTTGCCTATTTTATTAAATTTTCTTATTTAAATAGTTTGGAGAGGCCAAGCTAAGAGAATCATCATAACTAGGCTTAGGGACTTCTAGCATTTGCATATTTTTTTTAATTATTGTTAAATATACCAGAGTGCGAAATAAATTCGTTTCTCGATGCCATGATATCAGATCTAAAATTTGAATGTGCATATTTTTGCATATTTGATAGATTTTGCAGGAGAGTGCATATTTTAAAAATGTTATGCTTATTTTGCATATTTTGACAATTTTTTTAAATTTAAAACTAAAACTATAGATACATATTTTTTTTTTATTTAGAAAAAATACAATCTGAACATTATATGTACAATAAGAATTTTTGATGACATTTTTTTTTTTTAATTTAGCTTGATTTAACCTGTGAAGAGGCTCCCCATTGGGGGGAGTACTTCTACTAAAATTAATAATAATAATACAACTACATTATGTTAAGTTATTTATTATTATTATTTTTTTTTCTGACTTATTAGAGTAGATCTCTGCACCAAGATCGTTTTAGGCGGCGAGGAGGATTTCCAGGGAGTGTGAGGGATGATAATTCATTAATTAGTATGTTCGGATGATTAATGAGATGATTATGGAATTGTTTGTAACGAGTTATGGCGGTTTGTTTCACTGTAGGTATGTTGATGTCGTTGTAGATGGTTTCGTTGGAGATGTATGGCGGAGCATTAAGTATGCGGCGGAATATTTTAGATTGGACGGTTTGAATTTTGTTGGTGTTAGATATTTTAGCGGCACCCCAGAGTTCGATACCGTAAGTCCACATAGGTTTTATTAAGGATTTATAAATTATTAGTTTAGAGTGTAGACTAGTTTTTGTTTGGTTATTTAAAAGAATTTGGAGCATTCTTGTTCGGAGATTTATAGCAAGTTTTTTTGAGTGGATGTGTGGAGACCATGTCAGTCGCTTGTCTAAGATTAAGCCTAGGTATTTAGATTGGGTGTTGGTTGGAATTTGAATATTGTTAATATAAATTTGTGGAGGGTTTTTTTTATAGAGAGTGAAGGTTGTGTGACATGACTTACTTTCATTTAACTTTACGCGCCATTTCAGGAACCAGTTGTGCATGCCATTGAGTTGCGATTGAAGGTGAGTGGATGTAGTGTTAGGATCTTTGTTTACTGCAATGAGTATTTTGTCATCGGCATAGTTTGCAACGTGGGTATTTAGATTGGTTGGTTGGTCAGATGTGTATATGTTAAAAAGGAGTGGAGAAGAAATGGCATCCTGGGGGACTCCTGCATTAATGGGATAAACAGGGGATAAGTCATTACCTACTCTGGTCGAAAAGGAGCGGTTTTCGAGATAATTTTTAAAAAAAAGAAAGTAAGAAAGAGGGAGAATATTATGAAGTTTTAGGAGAAGACCAGGATGCCAAATCCTATCAAAGGCTTGCGATATATCAAGCTTTATTGCTGAGCAGTACATTTTTCTTTCCAGGCTTAAGGATATTAAATCTACCAGACGATGTATTTGGTGTAAGATGGAGTGCCTTTCACGAAAACTAAATTGATATTCTGGTATAATTTTTTTATTCACTATAATCGGGCATATGCGTTTTAATACCAGTTTTTCGCATACTTTTGAGAAAAAAGGGAGTAAACTTATTGGTCTGTAAGAGGACGGAAGGTTCTGGGGCTTATTTGATTTATGAATAAGTATTATTGTGAAAAATTTCCATTGTAAGGGAAAATACGAAAGTCGGATAGTTGCATTTAAAATATATGTTAGCATTAGTATCGCTTTCTTAGGGAGTTGACAGATTTCGGCCGTTATTAGGTCGTAGCCAGGAGACTTTTGTGAAGGAAAAGATTTTATACATTGATATACTTCACCGGGAGAAAAGTTTTTCGGGGGAAGGTGCATGGGTAATGGAGTAGATAAAGTGGCTTCTATATTATTGAATATTGGAGATATTGGGATGTCGTTGTGTGGTTGGAATACTTTAGCAAGATGAGTACCAAATAACACCGCTTTGTCGTAATCAGTTATTGCCTAACTGGAATTTTCTTTTTTCAATGGTGGTATGGTTTTATAACTGCGTAGTATACGTTTGGTAGCTTTCCAAAGAGAACAGTTTTTTACTGTTAAAGAAGCGGTATATTTGTCGAAGGATTCTTTCCGTAATTCAGATAGCATTTTTTTTACTCGATTAGACAGGTTATTATAAATTTGTTTGTCTAACGGTAATCTGGTTCTCTGCCACGTGGATCTTGCGTGGCGTTTTAAGGAGATGAAATCACGAGCGAAGGTTGGAAGTTGCATGGAGTAATGAGGAACGGATGTTGTAGAGGTTGAGGAGGAACTCTAAGCTGATGTTTGTATAGAGGAAGTAAAATTTTTTACAGCCGTTTCAATTTGTTCTGGAGTTTTGAGACTAATGTTAAGATTGATTTTGTTATCTAGTATTTTTTTAAATTACTCCCAGTTCATTTTACCATTTAAGAGAGAAGGGTATTTGAATCGGCTTGGAGCGCAGGCATTTAATGATAAGAGGACTGGGGAGTGATCGGAGCAGGGATCGGAAAGATTATTGATTTCAGTATTAATATGGTTGGGAATATTAGAAATAAAAATAAAAAAAAAATACATAATACATATAACTTATATATACATATTTCAAACGATCGAAAAAAAAAAATGTACTTAATAATTAGTACTTAATATTTCCAGTAATATACTATCTGCAAACTACCTCACATATCTCGTTATAATTTTTGTGTAAGTATAAATAATACTATAAACCCGTATCGATCGTATCTGAATATCAACCGGATGTCGATAAAGATAATAGTTGATATAGAATAATAGATTATTTATTTAGTGTTCAGTTCAGTTGATTATTATCCGTCGTTTTTTTTGCGTCTCGCAACCATGCAACGTCGAATCATATATAAAACGTCATACGTATTTTGTAACATTGTGTAATGCCGAAAGTACAACAGTCTACGAGTAGCCGACTACAAAGTTTTGTTTCGGAGTTTAAAGATACATTTACATCCGATGGACACGTTTTATTTTGTGTACTATGTGGTCTTTTTTTTTTTTTTTTTTGTAATGCATATAAATGCATATTTTAATGATTTTAGAAGCATATTTGTGTATTTTTTAGAGCTATAAGTCCCTAAGCCTAATCATAACTATAATTTTATTTATGAATACTTCAAATGTATTATAGTAAATAAATTTTAGGTTTTGAGAAATATCATTTTGACACTAATTATATCTATCAAATTGATAAAATTATCTAATATTTTTTTTAAACCTGTCTCATAATATCAACTGAAAAAAATCTCACAAATATTTAATGATCATTATTTTTTTTCGTATACTAATTGATGAACTATTGAATTTTAACCTATCTGTGTATATGAAATATCTAAATAATTACTAAAATTGACGTTTTTTATAAGTGTATTTAAACTAAGTGTAAAATTTTAATTTAATTTATATTTATTTTCAGACGATAGCATGGAATCTGATAATTTTATGAGTGCTGATGAAGCTGTCACTTTTGGATTGATTGACAAAGTTGAACAACCTTCAATAAATTAATTTAAATTATTTTTGTATATTTTATTTAAATTTATTTCATTAAAATATTAAAATATTTTGGTTGTACTTCATTATTGTATGATTTTATTTTATTCAATATCATAAATACCAATTGTCTACTATATGTTTATCATTTTCTACATCCTTAAAAGATTGAAAACTTAGTTTATCATCAACTTTTTTAGTTATATGTTTATTTTGAATTCCATAGAAAAATGTAAAATACTTCTATATGGTCACATTTTATAGTAAGATGTAACACTACTTTCATTTAGTGTTAGTAACTATTTATACAGTCTTATAATATATATGTATATATTGAAATCAACATTATTCAGTAGTATGTGTTTATGTAACAATTTAAAATATTATTAAAAATCAATTTAAAATTTTTACTGAGCACTTTTTATAATATTTAGATATTAAATTGTATAAGTACAATTAAAATAAATACATTGTGAACTCTTAAGTTAATTGGCCATCATCCAAAGTGGGAATGCATGTTGCTATAATTAGATTTTAAATATACTAAAGAGTGTATCCCTAAAGGTTATAAATTCAGCTGAAATTCAAACCATTTGAATGTATAACTACATTGGATATTATAAAAAGTGAATGTTTTAAATATGAATATTTACATAAGAGTATGCACATTTCTAGCTGTTGTTTTATTTGTTATTTATGCTATAGATGTTCAAGATGACAAAAAGAGTAATTTAGAAGAACTTTTGTGAGTGAAACCTAACTTATTATCTTACATTGTGTTAGATTAATAGTTAATGTATTTTTATTCAATTTAGGGTAGACAATTGGGCTGAGACATTTGGCAAAGAATTGTGGTATTTGGGACAAAATATAACTAAATCTGATGAGATAAAATTGGTATTGAATTGTATTAATATTATTACATGTAATAATCAATAATATTTTTAATCAAACATTTTTTTAGCGTTATAAAAAATTAAATGAAACACATGTGTTTAGAACAAATGCTAGTCAGTTATTGCAAAATATATCGACGGCAATGAATCGTATGATAAGATTGAAAATGACTGCTGTATCAGTAAATAATTTGAATATTTTATGGTTTTAATTAAATTATATAAACTATAAGTGTAACTTTTAGTGTCTAATGGATGCAGCAGAACGTTTATCTGAAGAATTTGAATGGAAATTCTATGGAGATAATGGAATTTCTAATTATACTTACTATAATGCTAAGTATTCACCAGTTGAAGGTATTGATGATTCTAATGATGAAGATCGAAGCACTCCAAATATATCATTAGATTTAGGGAAAACTATTATTGAATTAAAATTTAAAACAATGAATCTGACGAAAAATGATCACTTTTATGGATTACCAGCTAATACTGATTATAGCGCTGTTTATTTACCAACAATATTATTTGAAAAGCGTATGTGAATTTTAATTTTAAATATATGTTTATTTATTTTTAAAATTTTATAGTTGAACATGTTCAAATACCTTTACAATGGTCTGAACAATTGGATGAAGTGTTTTTACAAAATTATCGCAGTGATCCATCACTCTCTTGGCAATATTTTGGTAGTACAGCTGGATTTATGCGCCATTATCCAGGTAAATTTAATCTTAAAAAGGATGTTTAACTCATGAGATAAAATATATTTATACTCATAAATAAAATAAATGATACATTTTAAATTAAATTTGATCATTTAATTAAAGTATATTAATAAAAATAAAAATTTATTTTAAGTATTATATGAATTGTGTTTATAATTTAAATTTTTAGCTTATAGGTGGTCAGCTAAGCCAAGTGTGTTTGACACACGCCTGAGGCCATGGTACATTCAAGCTGCTACTTGTTCAAAGGATGTAGTTATTTTATTAGATATATCTGGTTCCATGTATGGCATGCATCAATCAATTTCTCAGCTTGTAATTAAATCTCTTCTAAAGACATTCAATAATGATGATTCAATAAATATAATATTTTTTAATACTAGTTTCAATTACTTAGTAACTTGTTTTAAAGAAATATTAGTTCAGGTAATAATAATGATTTGAACTGTTATTTATGTCCCATGAGTGTTATATTAAAAGACTATATATTATTTTTTTAAGTTTATAAGACAATAAAGATAATAGTTTTGATGTTGTATATAGCCTAGTAAGTAGAAATAAGTGTACTATATATGCAATCTACTTGTTAGTTATGATACATTACTATAATGTAAAACTATGATTTATATTTTAAATTTTTAATGAAATTATCAAAGAATTTGATTAAAAACAATCATATTCTTTAATATTTATCCACCCTAACACATAGATATATTTCAAAATCCAGTTATACTATACTATGCACTTGATTTAAGTGTTACCTATATGTAAACATTTTACCAAATTATTTTTAATTGATAGAGACTATAATGCAACATATTATTAATACAAAAATATTTTAAATATGAAATTAATTCGTTAAATATTCCAAATGCTGTAGTAGAGTTGAATATTAGTTATATTAAGTACCAAAATATCATGTAATTGAAAGTAAAATTTAAATTGAAAATAAAAGGGTACCTTTAGATATTAATATTTTATTGATTATACACATTTGAATGTTCCTTATAAGGTTATTTAATTATTGAAAAAAACAAAAAAAAAAAAGAGTGATTATTGGTATAGAAGTTATGATTAATCATGTACTGTATCATTAATTAACTGCTAGACTACATACAACAAAATATTCAGAACAATATTTAATTTTAAAAACTTATTAATTTACTTTTACTTTAAATAAAACTTTTGATTTAATAATGAAAAGTTATAAAAATTTTAGTTTTGAAAAAAGAATAATTAGTAAATTTTAATGGCACATTCAAAGCATAATATAATAATTGTCTTTGGATAAATTATTTATTCGTTTTAGGCTACACCTGAAAATTTGAACACATTTTATAAAGCTATAATTGAAGATACAAGATTATTGCCTTCTTCTACAGCAAACTACAGCAAAGCCTTTATTGAAGCTTTTGAACTTTTATCCAAAGTATGTAATGAAATCTAATTAAATGTTAACATGTAAATATTTTTTTTATTTTAGAACAAAAAAAACAACAAATGTTCTGAGGAAACATGTAATCAAATGATTATGTTAATCACTGATGATGATCCTAATGAAGAACTTTTTGAAGTAGTTAAAATATATAACCGTATTGATAATAATAAATTTACAAACATACCTGTCCGTATATTTACTTACATGATAGGTCGTGATATAACAACAACACCTGAACTTGAACGTCTTGCCTGTGAAAACAGAGGTATTTAAATATAAATAATTTTAAATTACTTAGTTAAACAAGTTAATACATACTACAAAAAGCCTACTATTGTGATTGTAATAGTGATATTTAAACAATACTTATTTTATATTATAGGCAGTTTTGCACATGTACATTCAAAGGATGAAGTACTTGAAAGTGTATTAAAGTATATTGCAATTTTAGCAAGACCATTAGTGTTACAAGCTGAAAAACATCCTGTAACATGGTCTCATACATTTATGGATATATCTGTAAGTATTAACATTTTTTAACTATATAGATTGTTATGTGTTAAATTTGCATTACTAAAGTTAAGTTCTAACTCGTCGTCATATAAATATTAAGAGAATTTTGTTAGGATCCATATGTAACAAGTGCGTTAAAAAATGCAATGGAATTTGATAAGCAGAAGAATGATCTAGCTGCTAATTTGAATGAACAAAAACAATTCCCTAACCAACATAAAATGGATTCAAAGTATTTAGTGTTGAACTCTGAGGTATTACTCGTGTGTACCTTTTGTTTATCCAACCCAGAATCCAAAATACCCTGTAGACAGAATTATTCCAATTATCCAATATAAACAAAATAAATATTGTTCATATAAAAACTGTATATATATATATTATATACAAAGTATATATACTTACCTTTATCTTATACTTCCTATGAAATGTAATGTATATAATATAATATAACTAATATAATGTATAAAAGATTTATAAATAAAATAAAATACCTTTAGCTATAATCTCATGAGAAGTGTTGAGTAAATAATTGTAATAATTTATTAATATAAATAAAATAGCATTTTATTATTTATTATTATAAAATAGAGTAAAGATGAAGAAGATGTCTATCAGGAATACAGACCAATGACTGCTATCTCCATACCGATTTTTAATAAGAAGAGAGATGAATTTAACAAGGTTATATTTCAGTAATATTTATAATTTGTAATTAAAACTAACTTTAATTGTATGATAGTAAATATAATAGTAAAATAATAGTAAAGTAATTATTTAAACAATATTTGTTAAAAAAGAATATATTTTTTATAGACTAAAGTTAAAGGAGATTTACTCGGTGTAGCAGGAACAGATGTACCAATTGCTGAGTTTGAAAAACTTACACTTCCTTACAAAGTAATGAATGAAATAGTATAAATAATTAATATAAAAACATTACTTTTTTACTTGTTTTATATTTTACAAATCATATTATATTTATAGCTATTATATATATTTTGTCTTATTATTTTAATACTTTAAGTCTGAAGAAAATAAATATAAGATATTATATGATAATATAACAATAAGACAATGGGAAACTATTGCACATAAACATTCATAGTATACAAGTCTTACAGTCGTCCATAAGGATTTACTATAAAGTAACCTTTAAAAATAAAATAAAATTTCGATTTTTTTTCTTTTAAAGACATTTTACTCTACACCTTTGGCTATGATAACTCGACTATTATTTATAATATTTAAGTTACAATTACAAGATATATGTAGATACATGACTTACTAAAATGCTAAATAGTTAGATAGTTACTTATCCAAGTACTAGAGACTTGAACAGTAGTTTAATTGGAAGTAGCTAGTCAATGAATGCCATACCATGCACATCATTTAACATATTTAATCTGTGTACACGTTTTAGATTGGAGTAAACGGCTATGCTTTTATTGTTACAAATAATGGATATGTGCTATTTCATCCAAAATTAAGGCCTGTTGTAAGTAAAATAGATTAATAAATATTTTTTTTAACTAACTAAATTGTTATAAAATATAATTTTAAGGAAGATGGAATTCTCAAAGATAATCATAATAGTATAGATTTAACTGAATTAGAAATGATAGATGATAATAAAGAAGATGAACAACCAAGGCAACCACATAAAGATATAGTTCAAGTAATATTATTTTTTAGTACACACAATTTTCAATCTTCTTTTAAAAATTGAAAAAAAAAATTTCCAAGTAGCTACGGGAAGCCATTGTTAATCACAAACGTGGATCAATGGAAAATTTAAGCATTAAGTTCCATTATGACAATATGGTAAAAAATTAGTTACTTATAAATTAATATTAATTTATATTTTTATTAGATATTATAATTTACTTATTTAGAGAAGAGTTGGCTCTGAAGTTCGTAATTATCATTATACTGCATTAGATCCAAAAATTGAAGGCCCATTTACCCTTGGTTTAGTGTTACCTGCCTCTTATGGTAATAATTGGATTAAAGCTGGGGATGAAATTAATAAATCAATAGGAAGTGGTAAATATGGTCTAAAAAATGTAAAAATATAATTTAGTATTTTTAAAATAAGTTAATTTTATCAATGTATTTTAGATGAACAATTTGATAAATATTTTCAAGATAAATGGAAAATTCATCCAAATTGGTATGATTTTATGTTTTAAGGACTAAACATGATTTCTACATTTTTTTAACTATATATTTCAGGGTGTATTGTGATTATTTTCATTCATCAGAACGAAAATTTGAAAATCCTGAAGAGAAATTACTTCATTTTATGGAAAAAATATTTTCTCCAGATTGGGAATGGAGAGAACAGTATCCAGATTCAAACTTTGAAAATATTTCAATGGATGAATTTGATAGACGTAAGTGAAAATTTTATTGTAAATTATTCAACTTCCATCAATAGTTGGCTCCAACACCAAAATCTCAAGGTTAAAGCTCAATAAAAAAGATTTAACTTGATTTATTTCTACTTTATATTCCTCTTGAGTCATCGATTATTTTATTTTATTGTTTGATAATAGGTGAATGTGATAGAAAACCAATAGATATAGACGAATTCTACTGTAAGTTAATCTAAACTTTGATTTTGATTTATATTTAAAGAAAAATTTATATATTCAGGTGATAAAGAATTGATGCAATTATTATTTTTTGATGCAAAAATAACACATGCATTATATAATTTGACTTGGAAACCAACTACAGAATTTGAGTAAGTTTTTATTGATTATTTTATAATTTTAATGAATGTCAAAATAAAATGATATTTTATCATTTTACATAAATAAATTTACTGCTCACATTTTAATGACTTGGAACTTTAGAAAACACTATGTAGATCAATATAATGTAAGTGTTAGATTTTTGGCAACCCAAGGAGGATTAAGTAGATGGCAACATATACTTGATCTAGCTGAAGGAGAATTGTATGTACAAAAAACAATACGCAGTAGAAGAATAAAAATAAAAATTTTGTTTATATCTTCAGACAATTTGGAGATATTCATAATCGTTCAGTTGAGGAAGTTTGGTACAAGCGTCCAGTACTATATCGTAATTTAAATCCACAAGCTTTTGTCTTTTCAGTGCCTTTTAATTCTGGTATTTTAATATCATTAACATAAAATAATTTAATATTAATATTTTAATAAGTATTACATACTTTGTATAATAAAGGTGATAATGATAAGTTAAAAATAACAGCTAGTCATGCTATATTTGTTGAGGATGAAAATAATGAAGCACCAGGGTCAGTAGTTGGTTATGAAATGTTACACAAAAAGTTTTATGATCGTTTTATGCAAATAACACAAGCAAATGAAATTGTAAGTATATTATTTTTTAGTACATAGATTATCAACTAATAATTGATTTTTAGTGCCCTAGTTGTTTACCATGTGCATCTGATCATGTTGATTGTTATATAATTGATGAAAATGGATACGTTGTTTTATCAGAAATTCCAGCAGATACTGGTAGATTTTTTGCACAAACTGAATTAAAGAGTACTGGAGTTATTATGGAAACAATGATTACAAAGAAAATATTCAGACGTATACCTATGTTTGACTACCAAGCTTTATGTAAAGAAAGAATAGCAACTACAAGTGCATCATCATACCTGTTAACAGTAATTCTTTTTAATAAAACATTAAATTTAATAACTACTAATACCTTGGAATTTAAATTTAACTTTTATTTTATATTATATAGCCATTTTATGTAGTATACACAAGTCTTAAAATGCTATTAATGAACTTAGTGTGGCTATTAATTGAAGGAAATTTAGTTCATGTTTGGTCAATAAATGAAGGTAATAGATAATAATATTATTATTTTTTAAATTTAATATAAAAATAAATTGTTTATATAAATAAATAAATGGTTAACCTGAATTATTATTATATTTATAATGTACAACTGGTTTCAAATTAAAAATGTATCATCAGGTATATACAAAATCAATAAAATCGTGACTCAAAATACAAAATTGATTAAGAATATGACTGATAATAAATTTTTAATTTTGATTCAGTCGTACATTATAAATGTAATAATACTCCAGAATAAGCATTTATTTATTTATTTCTATATATAAACTACCTATTTATATTTTAATATACAAATATAAACTATTTACCAATCTTATTTTTTAATATTTTATTATTTTAAATTTAAATTAAATTATAATTATCATACTTATTTTTTATATTTTAGGCAATGTAGATGATTTAACATTCAATAAAAATGCAGAAAAATTTAAAATTATTGATATTCCATGTGATAAGAAAGCAGATTTATTCATGTTACAACATGAACACTTAAGTGCTGAAGGATTCGATGCACCACCCCCAGCTGGTTCAACTATAAGGTGACTAACATAGTAATAAAACTACAATTAAAAATGTTTCAATTAAATATTACTACACTTTTGTATTTATATGAATTTATATATATACGAATATTTTTTTTCTATTTTAGGCCATTTTTTGTAAAACGCATAGCCCATTCAAATTTACTTCTTGTTGTGGTAAAAAATGCTGAAAGTAGTCAAAGTAATTTAAGTGTTAACCCAGTTAAAGTAGAATACAACAACACATTAGGTATAGATCACAGCTGCAACAAATTGAACCTAAACCCTTTTCATAGACGCAAATTAGGTGGATGTTATAACAGTCATCCAGAGGTAATATAATTTAAAAATATTATAAAATAAATCATATTTATTATTTTATTTATATGTAATACAAATTATTTTTAAATTTTAATACATTTGATTATGATTTATTAGGAGCCAAACACTAAAGTGTGTTCCAAAAGTAATTTCAACAAGTCAACATTGCTGTTAATAATAATAATGAGCATTTTATGTATACAAATGTACAACTAATTATTGTATAACTATCAGTTAACACTAATTTGTTATTCTTAATTTAAAAACTTACTATAGACATATATCATAAAGAAAAAAATGTTGATGATATATTTACAAAAAATTAATTATGATATTAAACATTATAGAATAATTTCAAATAAATACTATAAATACACATATTTAAGTAAAAATACTCCATTAAAGAATTTCGGTTGATAGAAAGCTATCTAAAGTCTTATTACCATTTGATGGTAGAGGTTTTTTTTTGAAATTGGAGACTAATTTTCTTTTTTTAAGTAAAGGTTTTTGTCGGTTAGGATACACATCTGGTTTTGATCGACCACCAAGACCATCATACATTTCTTCATCTGAACTACTTGTCAAAACCATTGTTTTTGACACATAATTAGTACTTACAGATTTAGTAGTTAAAGGTGGTCTCATGAATCCAATTGGTCGCCGGGGGCTTTTAGGCATGAATGTGTTTACCTAAACAATATAATAATGTGATAAGTTAATTTAAGTAAAAATGCATATAAAATATATATTGTTTACACATTGTGATGATGATTGTTCTGTTTTGTTGTTTAAACTATAAAGTTTTAACTGTCCTTTTTGTTGTACTGAACTTGAAACTGAATTTTCTGGATTGTATACAGTAGTTTTTAATCCCTAAAAATTAAACAGAAATTTATGTAAACTTATTTCTACTGTTATTTAATGATGTATACATCGGACTAATCTGTAAAATTTAAATTTTTTAAGTAACAAACTATGTGCTTCTTAAAAAAAAAAAACTCCCCATTATAATATTTTAATTTAATTAATAATTTATACCAATTTATGTACTTCTTCTGAACCGGTAGTTATTTGAATTTCAGGTGCTGGACTCTCATGAATTATTCTTTTACGTAATTCTGTTCTTCTTGGAGTATTATCATTCGCTTGGATCATAGATTCTAAATTTTCACATTTCTTTTGAAGTCTTACAATTTCTGCTTCAAGATCGGTAATTTCTGATTTTAATTTCCTAAAAATAAATAATTTTACTTACATTATAATATTACTCTTAAGTTTATATTTATTTATTTATTCAAAAAAAAACTTATTTAATCAAGTAAAAACAATATAAATGTGCTAAAAACCTTATTGTTATGTGATTTTATTTGTTGTTTTAGTTTTAAACATAAAAGCAAACTTAAATCATAAATTTTATTAAATTACTTATCTCTGTATGTGACAACTTACAACACATGTAATAATATTTATATTCTTCTTCTTCTTCTTCCTTGCCTTTCTCTCAATTATTTGGGTTAGTCACCCTTGTCCTAAACCTTCACTCATCTCGATTTTTTACATCTCCTATGTACATACACCAACAGCCCTGATATCATTCTCATTTGTATCCAACCATCTCTTTTTTTATTTTTCTCTTCCTCTTTTTCCTTTAACATTAATTTTCATAACCACTCTTACTGCTTTTGTTTCCTCTTGTCTCCTCATATGCACAAATCATCTCGCCTATTTTCTCTCGTCTAGTCCACTATTGACACAACTTCCTCTTCTCACGTATTCGTTCCTTGTTCTATCTTCTCTTGTTACTCTTATCACTCCTTCATCTAAGCATTATCATTTCCGCAACACTCATAATCTGTTCTATTTTCCTGTCAATCGCCCAACACTCCAAACCATAAAGCATAGTTGGTCTCACTACACTTCTGTAAAATTTAATGTTATTATATAAAAAATATTTTTTTTATTAGAATAATATTTATATTATTATAATTTATAATATTCAGACATTTTTAACAAATTAAGGGTAGGTAAATTTAATCTTAATATTAACAACATATAATTAATTTCACCGAAAACAGATTTGCTATGGTGTGCAATTTTAAGATGTAGGAAATATACTAATAATGGTACTACAATAAACAGATTTTCTTTTATACAATTATTCTATCTAAACAAATTTATCTGTTATTTTATATTTATTTTAACAAGTTAAAATAAATTTTTCTGTATTTAACTTTAAATATTTTGATAATATCTAAATGAACATAAAATATTAATGGCAATAAATATTTTATAATTAAATTATTTATATAGTTAACTGCACAACATTTTAGATTATAAATAAGAATTTTGTTTTACATTCAGTAAATACTTAAATAAATTACATACTCTATTACTCGGTTATTCATAGATTCTCTTGAATTTACATCGCATAAATGTTTCTTCAATTCCAAATATTTGGTTACACGTTGTGAGAATTTAATTTCTAAGTCCCTATTACTATCTTTTAAAGTTTGAATCTCTCTATAAAATAAGACATAAAATATTATTGATTTCATAGACATAATGTAAAATATTATACCTTTTAAAAGAAGTTATAAGTAAACATAAAGTTTGAATATCAGTCTTTTTTTTTAACAAACATACTGCTTCTTGAGAATCTGCAGGCGATCCATATAATATTTTATTTATACTGAAATATAAAAAATTGTTAATATATTTTTAACTACTTGGAAAATATTATGAGAATTAAATGAGTTATTGCAATATAAAGTAATTTTTCTCACGATTGATATTTTTCCAAATCTTTTCTTAATTCTTCTGCTTCAAGTTTATAACAAGTGGATTTTTTACATTCAGATTTTAAAAAACGAATATTTTCTTGCAAACTAGATACAAATGTTTGATGACTTCTTATTTTGTCTTCCACTTCTTTAACATGTTTTCTACAAATTAATGAAAATACCATTTAAATAACATAGTTATTTTTATTATATAATTAAATTATGTAATTTCTCTACTTTAATGAAGTCAATTGTTCTTTTTCTTTTTTGGTTTCTTTTAACAAATTTTTTATTTCTTCGTCCTTGAGTGTATTTTGAAATGAAAGTGATTGTACTTGGTGTGTAAGTGAAGATAAGTCTTCTTTTACACTTAAATTTGAATTATTGTGAAAATACAATTTAATAACTTGTTTGTCTGTTACTTTTGATCGACAATGGGGACATGTTTGTGATCTTAAAATTACAATAAAAAATGTAATACAATTATTGGAATAATTTATCATAAGTTTTTTTTTTAAGATATAACTATTGCTGGTAATTTTATTATTTCTTTTTATTAATGAAATTAAAATAGTAAAGAAGTTAGTTAACTTTAGTTAATAATTATACAAAAATATATTGTAATAATAATAGAAATAAAATCTCCAAAAATAATGTATCATCAGACAAATATTTGTTTTTACCTTTTAATCCATGTCATAAGACAATCATAATGGAAGACATGACCACATGGTGTTGAATGAACGGATTCAGGATGTATTCCAGTGAAAACATCACCACATATTGAACAAGATGCTAACATTTTACTATGAAAAAAAATATGAAATATTAAAATAATTTTTAAATATATTTAAGTGAATAACTTTTAAGCACATAAAGTGCACACATTTTGGGAATTAATCCAAAATTGAAGAAAAAAAAATGTTATTGTCATATACAGGATGGGGCATTGGTTTCTGATAAAATTTAATTAAAGTTTATTAGTCAAGTATTAAAAACAAATTGTATTTTATTTAACACAAGATTATATTTAACTGTTATCAATAAAAATTACATCACTTAAGTGACAGTTTTCGTTTTGTATACAGTTGGTTATCTGTTTTTTAATACTGCCTATAACTTTCTGTATGATATGTACATCGATAGCTATAATTTCTCATCTTAGGTGTTTTTTTTTCTTATAGTGTATGTGGCTTATTAGTCAACACTGTAGATTTCAAAAAACCCCACATAGAGAAATCAGGTGACGTTAAATCAGGAGAATGTAGCCAGGCAATATCACCATTTCGTGAAATACACACAATGGCTGTGACTATAACATCTGAACATTATGTTGAAATGTTGAACAACTTGTTCCTAGCTGAACTACAGTGATAAGGAGTACAAGATCTTGAACTATGGTTTTAACAAGATGGTGCTATTAGCCATAAAGCTTATGTTTCAATGGCTGTTATTAGAAAAATATTTCCAAATTGTATGATTTTGCACAATGTGATATTGCCTGATCACAACGCTCTCCTGATTTAACATCACCTGATTTTTTTTTTTTATAAGGCTTTTTGAAATCTAAAGTATTCACTAATAAACCACATACCCTATTAGAATTAAAATAAAAAAAAAAAAACATTAGATGGGAAATTACTACTATTGATGTGCATATTCTACAAAAAGTTATAGACAGTATAAAAAAACAGATAGCTAACTGTATACAAAATGAAGGTAGCCACTTAAGTAATGTTATTTTTAAGTTAAGATTTTTACTGATAGCAGATAAATATAATATTTGTTTTAAATAAAATAAAATGTGTTTCATTATTTTGTTTCTAATACTTGACTAATAAACTTCAATTAAAATCCATCAAAACCCACCCTGTATATAAATATAATAAATAAATACTATAGTGTAGCCGTGGTTAAATAGTTGTGTCCCAACGAAAATATAACTAACATTTGAGAAGTATTTCACTCCATTTTTAATTTCATATGTTATACAAGCCGTTCAAATATTTTTCAATTTATAATAGAACAGTATCATTTAAATTTTATATATATTAATTTTAAATATGATAATATGACATTATATTTCATTTATTTTTTTCAAAATGTATTCTAGTATAAAATGTATATATATATATATACATCAGTATAATAGTGTAATGGACAAATATCTTGATTTTCATTTTTAATAGTTTTATTTAAATTATTGCAAATACTATTACAATTATTATAAATTAATGTAACTACTTTTATTCTTAAGTAAAATGTTACATACATAAAATATGTATAATGTTGTAATTGAAAAATGTATGAATTTGTGTATACAACTTATGTAGGCACATGTACATTTTATTCTTCAGGACATGATTTATGTAACCCAAAATAATCCACCGGACATTATTCATGTAACTCGAAAAAATATACCAGACTCCATATTTGGGACACAACTCGTTTGCAAAAATACTTGCAAATCCAATTTATCCAACTAATACTGAATTATGTATCTTTTTGTATCTAACAATTTAGACTTTTCATACCTTTAAATTGTTATTGTATCCGTTGACTACACCTTGACTAATGAAAATTGTCAAGACATAATCAAAGTTGTCACAGTGAATAAATACATCAGATAATTTTCCAGAACTGCATTTTTAGATCATAACCAATAACAAGCCCAGTTTCGAAACGATTACAGTTATGGCAAATAGTAATAAAAAACAAAATAAATGTTTGTAAATCGTAAAATCGAAAATATAGTAAAATAAATATTATAATTTTATAAAAAGATACTGAATTGAGAAGGGATTAATCATAGGCCAATCGGAATAAAAAATCAAAATCTACCAAAAAATACAGATACTCTAATCATCCAACATAATTATGATAAACATTGAAGTTAATACACAATGCAGCCATGCAAGAAACAAAAAAATAAATTTCCCATTAACGTATAATGATCTGTACTACTAACTTAACCACAGGAGAGATTAAATTTTTAACTAAATTTGTGCAAGAATTATAACTATGAGCATGAGCGTAAATAAGTATTTTATTTATTTCGCTACAATAAGTAGATCTATAAGAATGAATGAAATGCATTAAAAATTAATTACAAATTTAATTCTTAATTGAGTTATAAGTTAGTTTAGGTATTAAATACTTAAACGTAAAATTCTTTAAATAGTTGTCTAAACCTATGCTAGATCCATTTAATGTAGCGAATTAAATAACATACTTATTTACGGTTTTTATGCTATAAGTTATAATTAAAATAACGCGTAAATCTCACCTTAATAAATAGGTGTAAAAATGTCAAATCTAAATTATTCTAAAACAATTATTTTCAGAATTACAGTAAAAATACTAAAATTCCCGCGTATTTTATCATTTTTTTTTTTTAAATTGCTGTAAGTTGGTCAATTTTGGACTTAGAAAGTTGATTAAGCTACAAAAGTTCATTAACAAATTAGGCGAAAAATAAATAGTGGTTAAAATAGGTGATTCCCATTTCAGAAAAAAAAATAATTGTGTGCATGCGCAAAATTATCTGTTACAAAATAGTCTAATTATTTAGAAATGTGTACAATAATGTTTAATAGTTAGTCTAAGAAGTATAATTGAAATATAGGAAGCCTGCACATAATTATTGAGTGTTTCCACTTATCATGATCACACAATATATCACGGTACCTATACTGTAAGACATTTTCTAATACCTACTTTATTATTTTCGAAAAAAATATGTAAAAAATGTTGTAGTACTTTTCTGATATAAATATTGAATATAATGATAAATTAATAAATTAAAAAATGTTAAAAACACTAAAAAATTAATTTAATAAAATAAGTGTCTCTATCAACGTTCTATACCAGCGGTTCCTAAACTTATACAATCACGGAATCCTTAAAAAATAGTTTGAGTTTCGCGAAACCCTAATGTCTTTAATTCCAATTCAACTCTAATTTTCCTAAAAAAATAAAAGGAAAATCAATACTCTAAAAAATGTTTTAAATGATACTGTTAACATTATTAATGAGTACTCTTTATTAAAATTAGTTCAAAGCACAATTATTTTTAAATAATATAAAATAATATTTTTTCTAAATATAATATAAAATAAGTTTTTTAATAATCACAAACATCTGGTGGAATTCTTAGTATTGCCCCACGGAACCCTAAGATTTGGGAATCGCTGCTCTATGAATACTCTATTAATGCTCTAGCTCTGATAATTTAAATTAATATTTAACAGTTATGAATTAAATTGATAAAATTTCTAATTAGAATGAATATAATGTAATCTAACCTGTTCTATAAAAAAAAAAAAAAACAGTATATTAGTTAAGGTCCCCACACACTGCTTCGGTAGCGTTGGCAGTATTAAAATCGCAGACCTGAACCATTGCGGCGGTGGCGATGGCGATTTTTATCCAGTATAAACATAATATATTTATATATTACATACAATAATTGTATAGTTGATTAATTAATTCCTATGCCATTGATAAATTGACGATTTATCTATATAGTACGTTAGTAGGTACTATATCAAGTAGGTACTTATAATATTGTACATATCATATTCATTATATATAAATTATATTGATTATTTTTATATGAGTTATTTTTAATTAAGTTAAATAGTATATTAAACTATAACTTGAATAGTTTCTAAGAATTAATCGAAGTCTAGACTAATATACACCATATATATTAGATAGTATAGGTACTATTAGCGTATATTTGATAAATCAATTGAAAATACCGCTGAGCTGTAGCGGTAAAATCGAGCATGCTGCGGTTTTTATAAATATCGCAGCGGCGATATTTTACCGCGGCCGAATTACCACAGCAGTGAGCGGACTCATATTACAATACGTGTGTACAAATCTAACGCCACCGTGACAGTGTGTGGAGACCTTTAATGTAAACATTTTTAGTTCCAAACTTACAAAATGCATTTTTAATTTTTTTTTTTCTAAATAATTTGTATAAATATACATTATTAACAGTAGAAGACATAAGTGCCAAAATGAGATAATAAAAAAAGTCGTATAGTACAAAAGCGCCAAAATCATAGGTAGGCACAGTATGTACCACGCATAAGCACAACTAGGGTACAAAATCTGAGGGGCTACAGCCCTCCTACCAAAATTTAAAATAACCTGTAGATTACCCCTACTCTTATATAACATGTTAATATATTTTAGAATTCTGAACCAGGCTGGATTTACTACTAGGTATGTGTCTTTTTTTGTATGTGACACTATTGTGAGTAAAATATGCTGTATGCGGTATGTCATGTATAACATGGAATATTTATGGGGGACTAAATCTTCGCCGAGGGGGGCTAAGCCCCCTCCCCCCTCTCAGTTGCATCTATGGTGCCACGGTTAACAGATATTAAATTTAGAACTAAATTGTTCAAAAACTCCAAACGTTTAACCTTAATTGATAAAAGCATTATCTGAATATCTCATTACGATAAATTGTCACATACTGTGAGCACTGAGCACTTAGTGTTATAACATATTGTTAGTACCTACTTCGTAAGCATTTATGTAATCGTCATTCGTTAAAATGGATTTTCCAAAAACTGTTACGAATAAAGGTGTTGTATATATATTTAATTCAGAGTAAAAATATAGATTTTCACAAGAAATGGCCAGTGGTCATTGAGGTGTACCAAAAAAAAAAAAAATTTTTCTGATAGAATAGAGATGGAGAAACCTGACTGAAATTGTTCGTGTAAAGCTGCGTCCACACCTAACAAACGTTTGGGGAAACATTGTTTGTCAAACATTTGTTGAACATTCGTTAAACGTTTGTCGAACATTCGTCAAACGTTTGCCAAACATTTTATCAGTACAACGAACGTTTGTTTATAATTCAGTTGTTCGCTATATGTTTGCCAACAATCGTGACCATATCGAATCTTGAAGAAATTGCATGTGTGTGGGCGCTGCTGGTTTTGTTATAATGCTAAATAAAACATAAAAAAAAAAAAAAAAAAAAAAAAATAAAAACAAAAACAGGTGGTGGGAAAGATAATTTTTTCAGCGAAGAAAGACTAACAGTGGTGAGAATTTCATTTTAAATTTACATAACGGTGATTTATTAAGTAATTTTACCAGAATGTAGTGATTTTAAATTTTGAATTAATTTAATTGGCCCACAAGTCACAAATCTAAACACAAATTTTCGTAAAAGTATTTTTGTGTCGGTAAGTTTAGCAATAACTTGATGATTTTTTTCTACTGGTGATATGATTGATATTATTCTTTAATATATACGTATAACTTAATAATTACTTAACTAAATTTAAAATTATTTATATAGAGATACATCGGTATACAAGTACAAACATTCAAAATGGTCGCCTAGTGAGCGAAAATTTTTGTTTGGATTATTGACAAAAAAATTGATTTTGAAACGCGTCTACATCAAACCAACGTTTAAAAAACATTCGTCGAACGTTTGCTAGATATTTTTGGTGTTCGGCGAATGTTTGACAAACGTTTTTGAATTGTTTGTTTGGTGTAGACGCAGCTTTAGTGGTGAGCATTTACACGAAATAGTGAACGATTATGACAAAATGTTATATTTTGCGCAATAATTGTAAAAGAAAAGCAATCAAAAATATAACCGACCGAACATTGAAAATAGTGCGTCACGAATTATTTAGTAGTTGTATAATTTTTTAATTTGGAAATTGACTTCTGACACGACCTCAATTTGTAGGTGATTTTTTCTTGGTGAGGTGGCCGGTCACAGTTGAGTTAGTGGATTAAACAAACAAAAAAAAGAAACCAAAAAAGATACGATGATCTAATTGTATTTGTTTTAAATGACTTATATAAGTAATATGGTGGATGGTGTTGGTAGTCTTTTGGTGACGGTAGTGAAAAGAAAAAACGTTCGAGGACGATATGTTTCGACGACGGTCACGAGCAAAAGGTTGATGATTTGAGGCGATCGGTCGGTACTTTGTCACCGGTTCCGATAACTTTTTCCACCTCTGCCCGGTTTTCCGTGATAGGTGAGTAATATCGGAAACGGCATTGTTGCACGGGTTGTGGCTGGGTAGAGAGCGGGCGTGGCTCCGCGATAGTGGTATACTTAATGTACCTGCACCATAGCGGGACTGCGTCACTTCTATTACTTGTATATTATGTACATTTTCTCATGTTTTCATACATCAATACCAGTGGCGGCGCGAAATATTTTACTTCATGAGTCCTGTTATGATTTTGCCCATCCACCCATCCACCTAAAAAGAAATTTAAGGGTAGCTTGTAAAAAGAGCTCCCCCACTATTCGTTATACATGCTACATACTCACTTGATACCCAATGGTCAATACCCACCCATCTATTCACCCACTGACTTGAGTCCAGGGACTCAAAAATCTGCTGTCACGCCGCCACTGATCAATACCATTATATTATAAAATATTAAAAAATTATAAATTATTTGATTCAATTTCATAGATAATAGAATAATATAACAAAATAATAATAATGATAATTATAATCAGGGCTAGGATTTGTATGCAATAGTATGTTTTTTTTTTTTTTGCGACTTCTGATTATTGATTTTCTTAGTAATGTCCATGGATCACCTAATGATAAGATAAATAGTGGTGTTCTTTCGCTTTCAAGCTATTGTAGCGTTTGGTTGTGTTTTCCATCTTCACTATCGCAGTTTATTATCATTTATCAAATAATTACCTGTACATGTCGTCGTCTTCGGGCGTCGACTCGCGCACGGATAAATCATCTGCTCTTAATAAAATTAAACCTTTGGCAAATAATCGTGATTCGAATTCAAGCTACACCATCAA